TGGGACAGGAAATATAAAAATGGGACTGGAACATTTTGTCATTCATTGTACAAAGCCGGGGAAGTGATCAAAGACTACAGGGTTCTGTCAAAAAGATCAAAGAACCAACTGAAAGGGGATTCCACTGGCTAAAATTGGGCTAATTGGAGCACTGTATTTATAAAAACACATCAAATATGTTAAAATTAATGAGTTCTTGATACTAAACAGTAACATTTCTTGGTTACATTTGGAAGTTACAAGGGAACCAACTGAATGAATGAATGAATGAATATTTACCCATTACCCAATAATTATTAACTAATGGCTAATTCGTATCTCATCTATACCACCACCTACTTCTCCATGGCTCAGATCATTTAGAGCAAATCCCTGACATTACATCTTTTCATCACTAAATATTTCAGTATATATCACTGACACAAAGACTTCTTTTTTAACCTAACCTCAATACCATTATTAAACCTAAAAACAGTTAACAGTTAACAATTATCTACTGATAATATTGTCACTATTCAAATTTATATTTTTGAAAACTAATAATTAAGGGGAAATAATCAATTTATTCTGCCTTTGATATATGAACTGTATCCCAGGGTAACCAAATAGTTGAGGAGATGTTTCTTTTTGTAGCACTATTACAGCTAGTAAATGAAGAAAGAAGGATTGGAATATTACCATTTTGCAACTGTAAGTGAATTAGTCCTCCTAGGCAATGATTATCATTTGCTAACAGCATAAGAAGACATTCGGACATTAAATGCTTCCTGCTGGAAGTACACAACATCACTTACTAAGTTTTCTTGCCAAAAAAATCAAACCTGAATCTGATCAAGACTCTAGATCTAACTATCAATTAACAGGAAATAAAGGGGACAGACTAACATGTTAACACCATGAGAATACAGATGGTAAAATCCAGACTATGGGAAACAACAGGACATGATCCAGTTTCCTCAACCACAGAAAATTTCAAGGGAAAAGAACATGTGTAAGGGGAACTTATAGATCAAAAGAAATCTAAGAGATTTCGCAACCAATCAAAATGATTGTACCTTATTTGTATCTTAATTCCAACAAACTGAAGACAAAAAAGGACAATTGGAAAAAATTTGAACAGTGACTAGATACTATGATAATATTAAGGAGTTACTGTTAATTGTTTTTAGGTTTAATAATAGTATTGAGGTTGGGTTAAAAAATCTTTGTGTTTTTAGTGATATATGCCGACATATTTTGTGATGAAATGATATGATGTGAGGGACTGCTCAAAATGATCTGGGCCGTGGTGGTAGTACACATGAGATAAGAATTACCTATTAGTTGATAATTGTTGGAAACTGGGTAATGGGGCTTCATTATACCAGCCATTCTCAAAGTGTGGTTGCTGGACCAGAAGCTTGAGCACCACCTGAGAACTTGTTAGAATGCAAACACTTTGGCCCCCACCCTAGATCTACTAAATCAGAGAAACTGGAGCCCAGCCATTTATTTTAACAATCCCTCTAGGTAATTCTAATACACATTAAAGTTTGAGAACCACTGCTTTATGTTATTCTTCCTATTACACTTTATGTTTGAAATTCTAATAAAAAGTTTCAAAGAAAAAAATTTGCTTGATGAATGTAAGAAAAATTTATACATAACAAAGAGAAGCTGGATTAGTGGATAAAACAAGGGTCATGTAATCTCAAGTGTTAGCAAATTCATTGGCTTGGTATTAACAGTGAGTCAGCAGCTAATGATAGTCTTAAAGAGAATCACAGATTTTGCTTTTCTCTTAGAACAGTGGTTCTACATTAAAATCACCTAGAGAACTTTTTTTTTAAATTAATTAATTAATTTATTTTTGGCTGCGTTGGGTCTTCGTTGCTGCACACGGGCTTTCTCTAGTTGCAGTAAGCGGAGCTACTCTTCTTTGCCGTGCGTGGGCTTCTCATTGAGGTGGCTTTTCTTGTTGCAGAGCATGGACTCTAGGCACGTGGGCTCAGTAGTTGTGGCTAACGGGCTCTAGAGCACAGGCTCAGTAGTTGTGGCGTGCGGGCTTAGTTGCTCCATGGTACGTGGGATCTTCCCGGACCAGGGCTCGAACCCATGTCCCCTGCATTGGCAGCTGGATTCTTAACCACTGCGCCACCAGGGAAGCCCCCAGAGAACTTTTAAGAACATATCCAGACCCCACCCCAAGAAATTCTGGATTTATTTGGTTGTATTCCTGGTTTTTGGTAATTTTTTTGAAAAAAGCTTCCCAGATGATTCTAATGTACAGAGTTGAGGACGAGTGTCCTAACTTTATGATGCTTAAGAATCTCCTGAAGAGCTCATTAAAAGTTTCCTGAACAACCTAAATGTCCATTGATAGATGAATGGATAAAGAAGATGTGGTGTATATATATGCAATGGAATACTACTCAGCCATAAAAAAGAACTAAATAATGCCATTTGCAGCAACATGGATGCAACTAGAGATTATTATACTAATTGAAGTATGTCAGAAAGAGAAAGACAAATACCATATGAAATCACTTGTATGTGGAATCTAAAATACTGTATGATACAAATGAACCTATCTACAAAACAGAAATAGACTCACGGACATAGAGAACAGACTCGTGGTTGCCAAGGTGGTGGTGGCGGGGGGTTGGGGGAGGGATGGAGTGAGAGTTTGGGGTTAGCAGATGTAAGCTATTGTATACAGGGTGGATAAACAGCAAGGTCCTACTGTATAGCACAGAGAACTATATTCAATATCCTATGATAAACAATAATGGAAAAGAATATTTAAAAAAGAATATTTATATGTATAACTGAATCACTTTCCTGTACAGCAGAAATTAACACAAGATTGTAAATCAACTATACTTCAATAAAAAAAAATTTAAAAAGAAAAACAGACTAACAACAACAAAAAGTTTCCTGGTACTCATCCACTAGAGGGTCAGATTCAATAGCATGGTGCGGGGCCTATTAATTTGCATTTCTAACAAGATCACAAGTGATGTAGATGGTGCTGGCCTGAGCACATTTTGAGTAACACTACCTTAAACAAAGGGATAGTTTGGTCAAAGAGATTAGCATAAATGAGAGGGATAGGTAAAAATTCATCTTCAGAGTTCTTGCTGGTAGCACCACTAAATTACATCCAGGGAGGCTGCTTCATTTCTTTCTAGTGGTTGGAAATGCAAATGTAAATCCAGTGTTCCATGGCTTATTTGGAGAAGAAAAGAGACTTGGAGCATTGAAAGTCTCTTTAAAAGCACAAATGATAAGCACAGGGAATGTAGCCAGTATTTTATAATAACTTTAAATGGAATATAATCTAAAAAAGTTTTGAATCTCTATATTGTACACCTGCAACTAATTTAATGTCGTAAATCAACTGTATCTCAAATTTTCAAAAAAAGGACAAATGATAAATCTTTCTGATTTGCCAATAAAAATTATTAACTTTACTGATTGGACAAAATATAACCCTGTCCCCTCAAATTTAGTAACTATTCAAGACTCCTTCTCTGATGATTTGCTTGTGCTTGTATTTTTTTTTTTTATTACTAGAGTAATTGCAAAGAGGAAGAAATTTAATTTTTTAGAAGGTAAGAATTTAATATAACTTGGGTATCATGGTTCATGTGGACTCTGAAAGAAGTCAGAGGAATATAGGGTGATGATAATATCTAAAATTTCTTTTCATTTTCTCTTCTTAGTATCAGGCATGAGTTCTTAGATAAATATTTGTATGTTTAATTTGAGTAAGATTTTTCTGGGTGATTCAGTTCTTTGGGTATTTTTAAATCATGCTTTAAAGTAAATAGTTTAAAAATATGAATTTTATGTATATATGTTTATGCTGCTGATGAAGCAAAGCTTACAGTTTGTTCATTACCTTCTTCATAGTAACGTTATCATAGAGCCTTTTACTTAAGCAATAGTTAGAGATTTGAAGGGGGATGGGAAGGAGTTGAAAAAAAGTGTCAGTGGGTAGTAAGAGTCATACAGCCTTTTTATTGGATATGTGAACTTTTATTGGGAATTTAAAGTCTTGTTTTATAGTAGTGTGGATTAGTGAATTTTTCTATATTTTTTCTATTTTCTCCAAATTTTATGTCAGTGAGCCCATAGCTGATAATGAATATTAAAACAAACAAACAAAAAACCAATGTAGAACAAAAATAAATGCCCACCCAAGGGCAACAACAACAAAAAATCAAGACTTAATTTGACTGTAGTCTGTAAGGTTAAAAGAATGGAAAGAGACTATAAATAAATTTAGTCAAATAAATAAATCATCCTCCTAGTAAATATGTATGTTTCATCTGAAAGAATGAAAGAAAATGCATATAATACCATCTTTGAAAAAGTTTTTTTTTCTTACTGTCTTATTTGCACACACACATAAGAATCTCCTTTTTCCAGGTGATGCTTATTGATATTGCTAGATTGCTTTCTCAAACAGATAGATTCTAGAAGAGGTTATACTTAACTGCACTGTGAGAAAAAGAAAAATATCTATTTACTTGTACTTTCATGGTTTAAGATATGTGTTTTAGAGGTGTTTTAGTTACACTGTGTGTTTAGTTTCAATTTCTAGTGACACTATAGAAATATTGTAACAGGTTTTTAGATGTGTGGACTATAGAGATCCTTATGAATTAATAGTAAGATGTCTGTTTTTTTCCTACATAATCTTTGTATTTACCTGTTTAGTATTAACTGCTTAAAATTAAATGAAAATCAAAATGGTGTGGGTGTTTTGCAGTTCTTGAGTGATTTCATACTCTTTTATCATATTATGTATTCTACTGTATACTTTAAAAATCACATCTATATCTTCCATTTCAGTATGCTATCATTTTATTAAGAAAATATTTCTAAATAATTCTAGAATAAAGACACATTCTTTAAAAAAAAGTCATCCTAGTATGTTAACATATGCTCAATTTGAAACTTCTCTAAAATGTTTTTGAAATAAATTAATTCTATTCTTGTTCTTTCTTCCCCAGTGGTCATATGCTTTAGAAAAGCCCAACACTGGCAGCATATTTAATATCACATGGTCAATTGATGGCACCCAGATCGCTGGAGCCTGTGGAAATGGACATGTTGTTTTTGCACATGTGGTGGAGCAACGTTGGGAGTGGAAAGATTTTCAAGTAACATTAACTAAAAGAAGGACCATGCAGGTATAATTATGTTTCAGGTTGATTAAATCTTCTTCTTTTCACATTAGTTTACAATACAGAAAATGGAATTATCTTCATTAATTATATTTAAATCAGGTTTATAAAGATTCAGTCATACTAGAAATATTTTAACTATACCATTAGTGACTTTTTCATGACATAAAATAAGAACCTTTCACTGACGTAGAATATGAGTGCCCACAGGTACTGAAATTATGGTGTTGAGGCAGGAATGAAATTGAGGCCCCCTAAACCCGAGTTTCTCTGCCAAGTTTATGGTTAACCTCTCTATCCAAAACATTATTCCCTTTCTTGTCCCTCACCTGTTCCCCTCAAGGTTCAGGAGTATCAAAGAAAAGAGGGGATTAAAACTGAGCAGGACCCAATGGGGCCCTCCCTGGTACAAAAGCCCATATCTTTGAGTTGTTCTACAGAAACTAAGACCCCAACCCAGCTGGAGGATGGTGACTGCATGCTTGACCACAAGCATGTAGACCCCAGACTGGTTGGAATAAGAAGGTTGAGATTCCAGAAACATCACCCTGTTACCTCACCACCAACCAATCAGAAGAAAATCACATACCCTGCAGCCCTCACCCCAAATCTTACCTTTTAAAGCTCTTCCCAAAACTGTCGGGGAGTTTGGGCCTTTTGAGCATGAGCTGCCCTTTCTCCTTGCTTAGACCTTGCAATAAACTTTTCTGTGCTCCAGACTTCAATGTCTTGGTTTGTTTGGCCTCACTGTGCCTCCGGCACATGAACTTGGGTTTGACAACAGGGATAGTGAAACTTGAAGCATTGAGGGAATATGTGGATTCAGTTGAGGAAGAAGGAAGGAAGCTGTAACAAGTTAGATTTAACTGCTGGAGCTGACCTCAAGGCAGCCGTAATAACCTGCTGATCACTGTCAGGGTTACATTATTTTATTTATTTATAATTGTATGAGTTTATTTAACCTGATTAAAAAATATTTTTTCCCCTTTTAAGAATTACCTAAGACAAGCTAAAATGGGAAAAAGTTAGTTGATGAAAGTTAGGAGGAGTGGCCAAAGACAATGTGTTGATGGCAAACTCTCTCCCAAAGGAAAGGGAACTCTATCTTCTTCCTTTCTTTCTCCTGTCCATAGCAGTTGCCTCTATCTTCAGTATTCCGAATTCAGATGATTATAATTACTATAAAAATTTGAGGGACTTTCCTGGCAGTCCAGTGGCTAAGATTTCGCCTTCCATTGTGGGGGGGTGAGGGTTCCATCCCTGGTTGGGCGCAGGGAGCTAAGATCCCACATGCCTTGCGGCCAAAAAACCAAAACATAAAACAGAAGCAGTATTGTAACAAATTCAATAAAGATGCTAAAAATGATCCACATCAAAAAAAAAAAATCTTTGAAAAAAAATTTGGAAGCATGTATCTTGTGATTTCTTGGATGTGTCTGTTCAGGTATTCTTTAGACTAAGTTCCAGATTTTCACAGACAATCTGGATAATGGTCACCAGATTGATAATAATTAGGTACCTTATACATTTTCTTTGTTCTACTTTTTTTTTTTTAAATTTTGGCGGCACCTTGTAGCATGCAGGATCTTATTTCCCCGACCAGGGATTGAACCTGGGCCCCCTGCAGTGTGCGGAGTCTTAACCACTGGCCAGCCAGGGAAGTCCCTCTACTTTCTTATTTAAAAAATTTTAAACTTATTATGGATAATTTAAGCCACACAAAAATAGAAAGAATAGTATAATGAATCTCTATGTACTCATCTCCCAGCCCTAACAGCCATCAACCCATGATCAAACCTGTCCCATCCATGTCCATATCTACTTTCCCCCTCCCCCAGTTATTTTGAAGCAAATTCAGGTATCATTTCAGCTGTGAAGTTTTCAATATATACAGCTAAAAGATAAGGACTCTTTTTAACATACCCACAATACCATTATCATACATTAAAAATGATAATAATTCCTTAATGTTATCAAATATCCAAGAAGTGTTCAAATTTTCGATTGTTTCCACCATGTCACATTTTTAAAAGTTTGTTTGTTTGAATCAGAATCCAGAATGGTTTACATGTTGCTATTGGTTGACATATCTTTTAAGTCTCTTTTAGTCTGTGGATTCCCCTTCCATCTCTATTTTACCCCCTGTGGTTTATTTGTTGAAACCAAATTGTTTGTCCAGCCCCACAGCGTGGACATTGCTAATTGTATCCCCATGGTGTGGTTTGACATACTTCTCTGTCTTTTGTATTTCTTGTAAGTGAGTGTTTGGATCTAGGTGATGGTGTAAGTATATATTTTTGTTAGTCAACCTGGGAACCAAAACATTATTTATAGAATTGTGTCTATGACAAAGAATGCATTGTGAGTTCTAATCAGCTGATTTGGGGACACACTTTTACTCATGTAGTGTTTGGTGGCTAGCTAATATAGTATTGTCTTAATTTCAGAAATGCCCCAAGATGAGAATATATTTAAAAAGAGAAGTTTTTCTTTCATAATAAAAAGGAATCATCCTAGAATTAGAGGCTTTTTACATAAGATAAGATGAACAGTGGAGGTTCTTAAATAGCTTATCTAATCCAAATTGTCTTTATACTTAAAGTAATGTTTGCAAATAATCTTTCAAAATTTTAGGACTAGAATAGTATTTTTATTTTTGTAAAGGAGTCTTACTCTCTCAGTGATTATAAGACATTTGTATTGCATTTTTGCTAAGCTGGGTCTATTCATAGTTTTTTCTTAGAACAATTTCATTTATTTAATGCCCTACTTGCCAGGCATTGAGCTAGGCAATGGGAAGTACAGCTGTGAATAAGACAGGTTTGGTTCCTGTTCTCATGGGACCTCCTAGATTAATATGTTGAAAATCTTTTGTTTTTTCATAAATTCATCTCAAATTAATTGAATGAAGGTAAAGAATAAAGAAACAAAAGAAATTTATTGGTCCATGTGAAGTCAAGAGGTGGGACTGATGAGGCTGTACTGGATCCAGAGGCTTAAATAAGATCAACAGGAGTTCCATCATATCTCTTCCTCAATGGTCCTTTTTTCTGTATTGGCTTCATTTTCACAAATGCTGTCTCTCTTTTGAGGCCTTGGTAGCTCCAGGCTTACATTCTACCAACTTCAAGTCCAACAGAAAGAGTGCTTTCCCCTCCAGCCCCTTAGTAATTACAGCAGAGGTCTCAGCATTGGATCTCATGTGCCAAGTCTGGGTCAAGTATGTTTCGTTGGGAGGTGGAGGGAATGATGAGTCAACCCCATGTAAACCACTTAGTCACTTAGAATAATAGGGGGAATGGTTTCCCGAAGGAAAACCAAAGCATATTTACCAGAAAAGATAGCACTTGATTCTGGGCAGACAGAAACCAACAGATATCCACTATAGTCTATCTTTTTCGGCTGTTTAGCAACCATAACTGTATTAGTTACCGATGGCTACATAATAAATCACCTGAAAACTTAGTGACTTAAAACAGCAACACTTATTATCTCTCAGTTTCTGTGGGTCAAGAATCCAGGCATGGCTTAGCTGGGGTTTCTGGCTCATAGTTTCTCACAAGGCTGCAGTCAAGGTGTTGGCCAGGGCTTAGTGGCACCTGAAGGCTCAGCTGGGGAGGATTGGCTTCCAAGCTCACTGATAAGGTTGTTGGCAAGATTCCATTTATCAACGTCTGTTGAATTGAGGACAGTTGACTGGAGGCCACCCTCAGTTCCTTGTATGTAGCCTCTTCACAGGGCAGCTCACAACTTGGCAGCTTTGTCAGAGCAGTTACGAAGGGCACAGAGAGTGTGAGCAAGACGTAAGTCACAGTCTTTTATAACCTGAACTCAGAAGTGTCATCTCATCACTTTAGCCTATTTCTGTTCACTGGAAGCAAGCTACAAGGTCCAGTCTACACACAGTGGAGAGACTTACATAAGGATGTGAATATGAGGATATAGAAATCACTAATCCCCTTACAATCTACTCACCACGCATACTTTCCCTTATTCACATGTATGTATAATTCAGAAATGCACTACTTAACTTTGCAGCTATTCTATATGCAACTGAAAACAAACCCATCCCCTCTCTAAAAGATGATAACCTAGACTAATCCAGTCATTCCAGCTCCAACTCTGTGGTCTGGAAAACTATAAATAAACTCGAATTTTAATATTCTTCTCTCCCCCATATTCCCAGTTTATAATGACGAAGGGAAAACAGGGCGGCTGCAATGAAAACAATTTGGAAAATGGGAGAAGGGAAAACAACGCACTGTGATTACCAGGTTCCTAGCAAAAACCCAGCTGGCCAGGAATATCTTGAGAACTCTTTTTCTTAGCAATAAAGTTAGTTGCTTGGTTAATTTGGCAACTCTAGATTGCCTTTCTGGGAAGTTTCCCACTTGGGAGGATTCCCTTACTGGCGTCCGTACATTTTAGCAGCCCACTTAGCGTTGTTGTGAGGTGCAGCCACAGATTGCTATAGGGACAACAATCACAACTTTTTGTTTGCCTGGTTTAGAGTTTTACAGTTTTCTCAGAAGCTTGGTAGACTTGGTTGATTTGTGTTTTGTTAACTCAGAAACCAGAGATCATGTTGAGTCCTAATTATTAAATCCAGACCTTGACCTGGCAGTTGCTACCTGGCAATAGGCTTCATTGCCCTACCTGTCTCTCTGGACCTCTGCTTTTATATGATAACAGTAACCTAGAGTGAGACGGTTTCTTAAGTTGTCCCTTGTCTCCAGGCTGAATCCCAGTGGATGATTCTTTCCAAAAGGGATAGTTGATGTCTTTGCTGGGAGGAAGTGCCTAGGAGGGAGAGGGTACAGGTGGAGGAGATGAGGCATTCCTCAGGTCTCAAGTTTACCGTTTTCTCTTTCCTGCCTCTCTCACTTTAGCATGGGGCACAGCTTTGGCTTTTAATTGTTGCCATAATTCAAGATTATTTGATTCTTAGTCACTCTATCTCCTGTAAAGATAAGAGTTAAAGAAAGAGTGATTTTGATGATTAAATGAGATAATGTATGTAAAGCAAAGATAAATGGTAACTATTGCTATGGCTATATCTATGTTTAGGATTAAATGAGTATTTGGAAGTGTAGAAACAGAATTTTTGGACTTATGTCAGTCTGAGAAGTCTAAATATTGTGGTCAGATAGAAGTATTAGGTGATACAAGTATGAACAGGTTAGTCCTGAAGCTGCCCTGAGTTGAACAGAGTAAATGGGTGCATTTTAAAATTCAGCACAGGACATTTCTGATGTTGGATTCACCATAGCTTTGAAATTATAACAGCAATTATCAGTGTGTCTTTTGTTTATTATCATGGCCAGGATGTTTTATTCCTGTTCTAGTGTTCCAGATTCACAAAAAATAGAATTCCCCCATGTGAAGCTTTAGGCCAATATGAATTTTAAGAAGTCTGCCTATAATTTGAGTAATGACAGAGGATTATACATCGGATTTTTTAAATATTGAATTTTCCTAAACCTGTGTTAACAGCCAGTTTATTTCACTGGGTATCATGTTGCTATAAAGAAACGACCATATAACTTCCTTTAGAAAATTCTGTTTCATTCCATTAGCTTTAAAATGCTTCTGGGAGAGGATGGCATTTTGGACCTCTTAAAAAGTCTCTGGGAGCTCAGACTTCTGGTGAAAATGGTATCATAAGTTCATACTTGGAAGGATGAGACGTACATTTGGCTCTAAAGAGATCAATAATTTATGAAATGCATTTTTAAAAGAGACTTATCTAGATTCAAAAATAGGATAAACATCTCTGTGGACCAGAAATGGAACAAAAATGCAGAGTGTGGAGGGAAGCCTCCAACCTGCTTGACTCCTGGTCCAGAAGCAGAGAGGCAAAGGCAACGCAGAGAGGGGCTCCTATAGGCTGATGGACCTGAAAGGACTCAAAGTGAGACAAGTGGCCTGATCCAGTCTCTGTCTGAAATCAGAGCATGGGGTCTGTGGTGTAGCTCTCTTCTCCCCTCCCTGAAAGACAAACCTAGAACAGCCTAGGATTTAAAGAGAGACTCACAGGTTCACCACCTACAGTCATGGTTTGCTCAATTCTAGGGGGCCCATCCCTTGGACCTAGAGTTGTGCAGTGCACAACCTGCAGCATGTACCTGTGGCCTTGCAGACAGAGCTCAGCCTTATCACTGAAAGTACACTTCACATTTTTATGAAAAAAAAGTAAAAAACCTGCTGACTCCTGAGACCAGTGTTTCTCCTACAGCCTTCTTAAGTAGAGGTGTTTTTCTTCTTTATGTCAAGTATTACTGGGTCTGGGGGTCGGGTAGTTGTCTCCTTACCCCTCATTGCTGATTCCAGACCACAATAACTTCTTCTTCCCTAAAGAACTCCAGCTCCTTTGAAGCACCTGCCATCGGACTACTCCCCTTCTGCAGTCATTTCCCCCACTCTTGGAAGAATGAAGCAAACCTATCAGTGTCTTTTTCTTTACCACTAGTCCTGGCAACACTCTTTTTGATTAAGACTTTAAAAAAAAGTCTAAAAGGTAGGAACTATTTTTATTTTAACATAATCATAGTGACATCTCACATTTCTCCAGTTGTCTCCTAAGTCTGTCTACAGTAACAGGTCCCATTTCTCCCATTATTTTCCCTCTCTCTCTCTCTCTCTCTCTCTCTATATATATATATATATATTTTTTAAACATCTTTATTGGAGTATAATTGCTTTACAATGGTGTGTTAGTTTCTGCTGTATAACAAAGTGAATCAGCTATACATATACATATATCCCCATATCTCCTCCCTCTTGTGTCTCCCTCCCACACTCCCTATCCCACCCCTCTAGGTGGTCACAAGCCACCAAGCTGATCTCCCTGCGCTATGCGGCTGCTTCCCACTAGCCATCCATTTTACATTTGGTAGTGTGTATATGTCAATGCTACTCTCTCACTTCGTCCCAGCTTACCCTTTCCCCCTCCCCGTGTCCTCAAGTCCATTCTCTACATCTGTGTCTTTATTCCTGTCCAGCCCCTAGGTTCTTCAGAACCTTTTTTTTTTTGATTCTATATAGATGTGTTAGCATACGGTATTTGTTTTTCTCTTTCTGACTTACTTCACTCTGTATGACAGACTCTAGGTCCATCCACCTCACTACAAATAACTCAATTTCGTTTCTTTTTACGGCTGAGTAATATTCCATTGTATATATGTGCCACATCTTCTTTATCCGTTCATCTGTCGATGGACTCTTAGGTTGCTTCCATGTCCTGGAGATTGTAAATAGAGCTTCAATGAACATTGTGGTACATGTCAATACATATTTTTATAGTTAGTCGGTTTGTACCAGGAACAAAGTCCCATATTGCATTTAATTTGTCTCTTCAGTCTTTTAAAATCTGGAACAATTCCTCCTCCTTATTTATTTATTTGTTTGTTTACAAAACCAGGTCATTTGTTCTGTTGAATCTCCTTCATTTTCCTGTTTGCATCCCTGTGGTATGATTACATTTAACATGTACATCTAGCCCCTGTATTTCCTGTAGACTGCTTATTAGATATAGAGCCTTGATAAATATAAAGAATACTTTGTGGGTGATGCTGTACACTTCCTGTTGCGAGACACATGTCTGCTTATCTCTCTTTTAATGATGAGATTTATCAGTGTGTTCAGGTGTTATAAGTCTGATTCATATGTCAGATAGTTTCCCATTAGGCTTTTACTTTAATATTTTTAGCAGCCATGGATGGTACTTGTTTAGAACCATGTTTCATCAGGAGTTGCATCTTGTAATTCTATCATTCCTTCTGCATTTATTAGCTAGAATTCTTCTGTAAAAGACTTTGCCTAATCAACTATTTGTTACTCTGAAGTGAGACAAATTCTGAATTATTTTCCTTTATTTACCAGTTTTCAAATGGCGAATTGGTTTCCTGGTATGCCCAATGAGTTTCTTTGTTGTTGTTGTTGTTATCATTATAAACTTGCAGATTTTAACATTTTTGATATATTTCAATCCATTGCAGTCTTTATTCTTTCTAATGCTCCAATGGTTCCATCTTTGGCCATTTGACTCCTGTGTTCTTTTGAGATGATTTCAACAGCTTGCTTGCATTTCTGACAAGATGTTCCAGGTGTCTTATATTGATACATTTCCTGTCCCAGACTTGAAATCCACCATTTTTCCAAGAAGGCCTTGTTCCTTTTGGAGGGGAATGTTATTTAGAGACCATGATCCAGGTTCTAGGTGTGCTCATTGCTACTGGTTTGATCATTACTTCTAGATAAAATGTATTTATTTTTTAAATAAAAAATAAAATGTATTTTATTAAGATAAAATGTATTTGTTTTTGACAGATAAAAATATATCATGAGTGTATACTGAGGTTTCAAGTTCAGAATTCAAGATTATGGAATTTTACTCTTGATTTTTTTATTTGCAGTTCTTTTCTTTTACAAGAAAATTTTTGTTCTTAAAGACATTAATATATCCTAGAATATATCCTAAAATATAGTTTAAAATACCAATCTCAATATTATTCTAATAATATATTATTGAATACTGTTTTACATTTTTTGTTTTTTTAATATAAACAAATCCATATATCTTCATTTCCTTCCCTTTATAAGATAAAAGGTATAATACTATGCACACTGTTTTGCATCTTGCCTTTTTTTGTTTTACAATATATCGTGGAGGTTGCTCCATAGATCTTACTCAGTCCTTTTTATAGCTGTATATTATTCTATTTTGTGAATGTAGTTTATTCAACCTATCCCCTGTTGATAGATATTTGGGCTGTTTCCAGTCTTTTGCTGTTACCAATAGTGCTGTATGTAGTAATAGCCTGTGTATATGTTATTTCATAGTTTTGCTTGTTTATTTTGGTATAGAATTCTAGAAGTAAGATTGCTGGGTCAAGGATTAGATGTGTATATAATTCTGCTATCTCTTGTCATGGCAATAATAGTTTGGTGGGGATAGGAGTTGGGGAACAGGTAATAAAAATATAATATGCCTTGTAGGTATATTTGAAGAAGTACTTAGAAGAAGTTTGACTTTATCTTCCTCTTTTTCCTTCCATACCCTTTTATTCTTCATTAATACTGTAATTGTCATGTTAATTTAGAAAGATGATAACATTTTGAGGGGAATTTAAAGAAACACTAACTTCTAAGTAAAATTAATCTCTTTTTCTCTAATTTTCACCTCTTACTATAATGTATTACCCATCTGGTAATACATAAAAACGTCAAAAAACTTTAAAAAATAAAAACTTTATCAGTTAACAAACTTTTATAATAATTTTGACTATCATAGGCAAGTCGCCATTTGTTAGTTGGTGCTTAGCTTTTTTATATATTATCCCTGTGTTTTTATGCATGGAAATACTTTCCACCCCTCTGCACACCTTGGCTTCTTCACTATGTAGTTGGTTTCTTTACTGACACCTCCTACTCCACTTTTGATTTTTAAAGTTATTATATCTCTTTCCTTAGAACTTAAATTTTAAAGTAAAATCTAACCCTAAAAACCCTAAAATTTTAAAAATATATTTCATAAGTTATTGATCTCTTACTGTTTTGGGCAGAAATCATATAGTCTCTTTCCAGCTCCTATGTGCCATACTCCTTTGACTATATATCTCACTGTTACAGCAGTTTTCACCTTGTTGCTCCACTGCCACATCATACAGATTGGCTTTCATGTTAGAAATCTCTATACGTAGATCTTTTTCTACTTATTTCTAAGTTTTCTGTGTCTGTAGTTTTGTTGGATGATTTTATACCCAAATCTTATGCCTGGTTCCTATTGAATTCTTCTTCTTTTTATGATTAGATAATCAAGAATGCATAGAAATTTTTGTGTTTGCTAACCTATCTAATTAAAATTTGATGTATTTTAATGTTGTTTGTTGGTATTTCATTTTCCCTTGTTTAGGTTCGTAACGTTCTTAATGATGCAGTGGATTTACTGGAATTCCGTGATAGAGTCATTAAAGCCTCTTTGAACTATGCACACTTAGTTGTTTCAACGTCTCTTCAGTGTTATGTGTTCTCGTAAGCATCTTGCATTTCTTTAAAATCCAGAGTTTTGTCTGTAAGGAGGACTTTATTTTCAAGCTTTCATATCAACATGGTTTGCTTTAAACTTAACTTTCTCAAAACCTTGCCTATCTTGAACTTACTACCAACCAAGAAGTGATAAAAAGTAAGCTACGAGTAAGGAAAGTAGATCTAATAAAGTTTGTGCATCAACGGTTAATAATCACTTTTATAATACAAAATACCTTCTCTGAGATAATGTTTACTCTTACTTTACTCATAGCTCTAAGGACTTCAGTGTAATTTGATTTCAAAGCCCAGAGAAGGTTAGGAGCATCTGCTAAATGATGGGAAAAGGAACCACCTAACCACTGGTAGCGGGGACAGCTAGCAGCCTGACAGCAGGCTGAAAGATGTTCAGTAAGGACACAAGGAGGTGTTCAGGCTTAATATAGTCCAGGGTGATCATAAATGTTCCTATTGATAATCCAGAGTTGTCCAGAAATGATGAAAGAAAATATGTTCAGTATACTTTGTATTAAAAAACAGGAAATGACTCAATACATCCAAGAAACTTGCACCTAAAACTTTAAAAACTTACTTGGTATTTTTATGTAACTCAGTGTGTGCTGACAAATATTGAACTGGCTTTCTGGAAACAAACCAACCAACCAAACAACCTGATTTGCAGTGTTAGCTCATTTCTCTTATATAAATACCTCTACCATGGCCAATTTCAAGCTACCAATATGATATCACAGAATTAAGAAGAGATGCACAGCGGCAAACCATTATATAGAATTGCCACCATATAGGTAACAATAGATGTAAATAATCTCAAGTGCATAGATAATAGTAAAATGTAATAAAATAAACTGGAAGTGATCAGTTTGAGTATTATCTTTGTTTTGAATATAATTTGCTTAATTATGTTTATATATTTTAATTTTAAATAATGGCTTTATCTAACAGTTGGCTTGCAAAATTCCTGAAAGTATAACAATCGGTACAAACTAGCTCTAGTTTGCCACCAGTTGACTTCTCAACTATCCAGAAAACTCAAGGAACCACTATGACACTTTCAAGAGTTGTGAATAAAGATTTTTTTTTTTACATTTTGTGCTTATATTTATAACATTATGTGGTTATAGTTTAATCATTGAATAGAAAATTGAGGGTAGAGTATGTATGTGTCTTATTCACCACTGTATACCCAGTACATGTAGTAAGTACTTAAATAAATAAATATTTGGGGATGAATAAATGAATTGAAAAACATAAAGTATACTGTTGTCTTGGTAAGCTAAAGCTCAGTAATACACAACACAAAGGTATCCTAAAATTTAATTAACAGTATCAGTTGCTACAAGTATATATTACAAATTGTCACTCACTTATGTGGAAATCTGCTGCTAATCAGAATCTGCAACTTAGAATAACAGCCAAGCCTGGAGTAATGAAATGGGAGAAGCAAAGGAGAAAGGGGATAAAGAAATAAGCAGCTCAATTTTACATGAAATTTTTTTTCTTACGTGAAAGAGAAGGGAGGCTTTGGGTAAAGTCAAGAAAGCTACCAAGTTAAACCATTGAGGTATAGGAAAGGGACTATAGAATATGAGGAATCTCACAATCACTTAGTGCACATGGGTTTTGAATAATTTTCATGGGGTTGAGGAAAACAGAGAAGATTTCCTCAGTTTAGGGTTTGGTTGAAGAAAGGTAGGGCTCTTAACTGCCCTAAACGAGGGATTTATTCTACTAATTTTAATGGCAAGGACATAATGTTTGAATCTGTAGGATTGGTATCATTATGTGTTGCTTGTATTAGAGAGGTTGCTTTTTAAAATATTTACCAAAAATTTAGAAGCTGTTATTTAATTTTTTTGTCACTGTACCTTTCTCATAGGTAGTATGTGTCAAAATATTAAATTGCTTTTTTTCTTTTCTGATTTAACATTACCTCCCTTCTCTTGTTGTCAAGACATTTATGAAGGTACAAAATATTTATTAAGGTGAAATACCAGGGAGCAGTAGTGGGAATGAAGTAATGCTGAGACCCATCATACTGAAATATAGTTCATTAAATTAAAAATACCTAGTATTTTAGATAATAACAACTATTATTTACTGAGCTCTATTATACTATCTTTTATGTTCATGATCTAATTTACTCTGTGTGTTGGATATTATTATTATTATTCCCATTTTACAAAATGAAGAAACTAAAGGACGCAGAGGTAATTAAGTAACTTACCCTAGGTGAAATTACTTAACTTCTTTACTAAAGGAAGAGCTGGGATTTGAATTCAAGTTCCTAATAACTGTTGCCCCTTTTTTAGTAATAAAAATATAATTTTAAAAACAAACATGCAAGCCATATACTGGTTTATATGAAAAGAAGTTCCAGACAAAGAAAATCATATATGAGCATTCTATGTTAAATTTTCATTTGATTTTTCAAATAGTTGTATAGAAAATTCTCTTGTTCTGATTTAGGGAGTTTATATTTCCATGTCATATATGTATATATATCAGTTGTCATAAATCTCAGATATTTTGTAAGGGGACATTAAAAAAACCTCATACTCACTATTTGTATCAGCTCTCTCGACAAAGAATGAGCGTTAATTCTGATGACTGCATAAATGAGCATGCTGTGAAATTTTTTCTAAAGTACAAAAGTACATAGCTTTATCGTACCTGTGAACCTCAGACTTACTAATTATTAGTAGTGATTTACTCACTGTTTGGCTTTATGCATGCATTTACTCATTGAAATGGGTATCAGGCTCTGCATTAGCCAAGATTAATTTCCCCCAATTTACTGCAACCTTCCCCTTCCCCCCATCTCCTGGATCAATATGAGATTTAATCTGATTTAAAGAATTGGTTCTAAGAAAGTAATTGAGAGAAATTCAGAATATATAGGAGTAATAAAACATTTTAAACTATGAAACACCTTTGATTATTTGGGGATGGGTTTTTCAGTTTGTAAATGTTCTCTCCACCCATCCTGATCTTTGAATCATATTACATCATAAAAATCATAGGAGTTATTTTTTCATTCATTCATCTGTTTATTCAATAGGCATAGTCATAGCTTACATTAATACAGTATTTTACAGTTTACAGAATGTTTCACAGAAATCTTCATTCAGCTCAACATTTACATTGGGAGACCTGTAGGAAAAATTGTTCATCATGTTATTGTTAGTATAGTGTTTGTTTGTTCAGTATCTGCTATGCAGTAGGCAGTTAGCTAGATGCTTTAGGTAAGTCATCATTATCTCCATTTTAAAAATAAGAAAACTGTTCTTTAGGTCAAGCTTATTAAGATCATATGGCCGACAGGTGGTGAAACCAGATTTCTAATCCTGATTTGTCTAGCCAAAACCCCATCCTCTTTTCACTATACTATGCTGCTACTATTTTTCAAAAGAGAAACATTAGATGACATGCCCAATCACAGAGCTAATAAATGACAGAACTTGAACTTATGATTCCTCAATTTGCATATTGTGGCTCCTAGAATAAACATTTATTGAGTACTTACTATGTGCCAGGTGCTAGGGACACAGAGTCCGCTTTCTAGTCAGGGATACAGACATGTTAAGTGAGTAATTTCAGAACAATGCACCAAGTGCTGTAATAGAAATATATACAGAGTTACTGTGAAACTAAAGATACTTCATTTAAAATGAGTACCCATCTACTTATTAAAAAGTATTTGGTATTTCAAGTGTTAATAAACATCCATTTTATTTGTCTTTCAGTACGAAGAACTGGAATACACCACTTATATTTGATCTCAAAGAAGGAACTGTTAGTTTAATTTTGCAGGCAGAAAGGTAATTTGTTTATCATGTTTCACTATTTAATTTGGGGTTAAAATATTTTAAACTGCAGTAAAGCACTCTTTAAAGCATGCCATTTACAGAATGGTACATTTGTGACTTGGAATCAATCTGTTTCTTTATTTTAAAAGAAAAAAAAAGTAAGAGAACAAGCTCTTAGATCAGTGGTTCTGAAACTTTTTGGTCTCAGAATTTCTTTACATTCTTTTTTTTTGCGGTACGCGGTCCTCTCACTGTTGTGGCCTCTCCCGTTGCGGAGTACAGGCTCCGGACGCACAGGCTCAGCGGTCATGCCTCACAGGCCTAGCCGCTCCGTGGCATGTGGGATCCTCCCAAACTGGGGCACGAACCCGTGTCCCCTGCATCGGCAGGCGGACTCTCAACCACTGCGCCACCAGAGAAGCCCTGTTTTTGTTTTTAAATACTGGTTGAAACTCATTAATTTTATGAGCTACTACTAGGCTGTGATCTGAAGTTTGAAAAATAATATTCTCGACCAAGACTTTGTGTATACAGGACTAAGAAACTCTGGGTCAATTAACTGGAGTAAAGTAGGAGTAGCTATTACTCAGGAACCCACACTTTTCCATGAAAGTTATCAGTCTGTCAAGTACAGTGATACCCTACTGAATCAGAGATCAGAGTTAGATAACTACAACTCAATAAAACCAGGAATAAAGTATGAAAATATAATCAGCAATTACCTAAGATAGCTACCCATGAAATCTTTTCACTAAAACAATTTACTTTATTCCTCATCCCTTTACTCACCACCTAGGCAGCTCTTAATAGTGTTATTATCAGGTTTTCTAGCCCATAGTCTTTTTTTAAAAAATAAATAAATTTATTTATTTATTTATGGCTGTGTTGGGTCTTCGTTGCTGCACGTGGGCTTTCTCTAGTTGCGGCGAGCAGGGGCTACTGTTCATTGTGGTTCGCAGGCTTCTCATTGTGGTGGCTTCTCTTGTTGTGGAGCACAGGCTCTAGGTGCACAGGCTTCAGTAGTTGTGGCTCGCGGGCTTAGTTGTTCCGCGGCATGTGGGATCTTTGTGGACCAGGGCTCGAACCCGTGTCCCATGCATAGGCAGGCGATTCTTAACCACTGTGCCACCAGGGAAGTCCCCCATAGTCTTTTATAAATAGCAAACCAGAAGAGGAATACTGGTGAGTTGTTAAGAGGCTGGCACAATGACAGGAAGAAAAGTGACCGCCTGGCAAGGGAGCATGAGAAAACTAAAAGCAGAGAACCGCGTAGCTGAATAGCATAATTATTCTGATGCACCATCAGATTCTCGTGAGTATCAAAGCTATCAGTTACATAGTTACTGAAGAGTATGATCATCATATTGATGACATTGAGTGATCAAAAAAATAATTGTGTCAAATTTTCTATTAGCTGTTTAATGAAGTTGAACCAGTGATTTATTTATTTATTTCTTAAATTCTTTTTACTTGAAACAATTCCAAACCAATTTATTTCTTTATATATTATATATAAATGTATGTTGAATATGCTCTTAATTAGTAAAGGCATAAATGATTACGTAATTAAAGAATATTTTATTTACTGCCCATTGCTGGTCTTATTTGTACATTTAGAAATGTTTGCCCCTTGAAACAGTGTTTACTCACAAGGAAGTTAAAGCTTTAGTATCTTGTTTAGAAGAGAAAATGCTTTTAGTACTGAGACAAAGAAAGAATATATACTAATATGATGTGTCACTTGTCAACATTAGCAAATACTGTTTTCATACACTAATGTGTAAGGGCCAAACCCTTCAATTAAATAAGCTACACACCAATACTCAAGTATTAATTTAATTCAAGTGTACATATTTGGTATTCATTATATATTAACTTTGTTTGTTTTGATGTTTATTTTCTATTTGTTTCCATAGCAAAAAAGAACAATTAGCAATTCTTGAATCAAGAAATAGTTCTGGGGAATCCCCTGGAGGTCCAGTGGTTAGGACTCTGTGCTTTCACCACCGAGGGCCCTGTTCAATCCCTGGTTGGGGAACTAAGATCCCAGAAGCCACCTGGCGTGGCCAAAAAAAAAAAGTTCTGAATCAAGGATATTAAAGTCTTGAACATAAGATTTTATAAAGTAATAATATGGGGGCTTCCCTGGTGGCACAGTGGTTGAGGGTCCGCCAGCCAATGCAGGGGACGCGGGTTCGTGCCCTGGTCCAGGAGGATCCCATATGCCGCAGAGCGGCTGGGCCCGCGAGCCATGGCCGCTGAGCCTGCACGTCCGGAGCCTGTGCTCCGTAGCGGGAGAGGCCACAACAGTGAGAGGCCCGCATACCATGAAAAAAAATAAATAAATAAAAATAAAGTGGAAACTTTCTTTAAAAAAAAAGTAATAATGTGTTCAGCATTGAGGAAACAGGCTCTCCAATATAGCAGTAGTATGAGTGTAAATCAATACAACCTTTCAAGGGGCAGTTTAACAATATATGTTAAATTTTTAAAAGTATATGCCCTTTGATTGAATTATTGCATTTTTAGAAGTTATATTGTACTAAGGAAATAAGTAATGTAAACATACAGAGATGTGTATATACTTTAGACATTCTTTAAAGCAATGAATAATTTGAAATAAAATAAGTGTCCGTCAGGAATGAGTTAAGTAAAGTTAAGGTGTGTCCATACTTTGCCATAAGTTATCTCTATGGAAGTAGGAAGATTGCAGGAGATCTTTTGCTTTCTCTGTATTGTTTGAATTATTTTTTGCAATGTTCATAAATTTTGAAAGAAAAAAATAGCAGCCATAAAATATTTACATTTTGACTTAATAAAAAATAAACTATACAGGACCCTATGCCTTGAATAGAGCGGTCAACACAGCAAATGAACCAAAGTCCCTGATACAAAAAATGTGTTTTTAGATATGAACACATTTACTGATGGTTACCATATTGTTTTAAAGTCAAAACATCTTATTTTAATAAATGCTGGCTCTGATGTTAATTTTTGAGTAATTTTCACTGTTTAGGACTTTAACAAGTATTTAATCTAATTTAGTACTGTAATTTAATTTTAATGATCCTTACCATAATCTTTTTTTTTTTTTTTTTTGGTGGTACGCGGGCCTCTCACTGTTGTGGCCTCTCCCGTTGCGGAGCACAGGCTCCGGACACGCAGGCTTAGCGGCCATGGCTCACAGGCCTAGCCGCTCCGCGGCATGAGGGATCCTCCCGGACCGGGGCACGAACCTGCATCCCCTGCATTGGCAGGCGGACTCTCAACCACTGCACCACCAGGGAAACCCTTTACCATAATCTTTAACTGTGAAATATGTACTAATACTGTTTCATGAAACAAATAGCATCTGACATTAAAAAAATCACTGAATTGTGAATTACACGATTTTTTTATTGCCATTGTATAGAGATGCTTCTTTAGGGAAGGAAATGAATTACAATTATAATATTAATGGGCCTTTTCATTTTTCCTTCTCCTACCTCCATGAAAAAGCAAAAACCTAGAAAACAAACCAAACAACCAATGTTGACTTTTCAGGTTGCTATATTTCATTCTTTATATATTTATGTTTTACTATTGTTTTAATTGTAAGATTTATCCAAAGCATAAGCTATTTTCTAATATAAAAATGAAATTATAGTAAACTCCTATTTGAAAATATATTTTTATTCTTTATTTTTTAGACATTTTCTTCTTGTAGATGGTGGTGGTATCTATTTATATTCTTATGACGGGCGCTTCCTTTCCTCTCCAAAATTTCCTGGAATGAGAACAGATATTCTAAATGCACAGACGGTCTCTCTGAGTAATGATACCATAGCAATAAAAGACAAAGCTGATGAAAAAAGTAAGTGCATTTTTATAATTTTCCATGAAATTTGTTAACACTGTAAAATTTTCATCAATTAACTTTCATTTTCTCATCTATTATTATGTTAACTTTATATGAAAGAATTATGAGCTTCCTAATTTTTCCTAAGTGTGAATCAATTAAAGAACTAAAGTTGTCATATTATTCCCAACTGATGGAACAAATAGATATTGTCACAGCATCAAAGCTTAGTTGTAAGGAATAAATCTTATATATTCAGTAGCTGTTGGTATAGAGTTTGAATTCAAGACTGTGTGTCCTAAAAATGTATGTTAATTTTTAAGTTTATTGACCTTTTAAACTATTTCCTTTTTCTTTATTTAGTAACATAGTAAATATTGTGCTTCATTGTACTATTTATTTTGCTTATATATATTCATATTTTTATGTTTACATATTTTTAAACTAATGAAGTAGAAGAAAGTTATGAATAATTTTAAATTTTCATATAAAAATCTAGGCCACATTAGTGTTTATAAATAAATATGAATGTGTCAGGTGTTTTGGAATTCCATAGAAGAGTGAAACCATTTTTTTAAGGCAATGCTGTATCAGAACATGTATCCAACAAATAGTATTGAGTGCTAACTGTATGCCAAGTACTCTTCTAGAAGTTGAGGATACAATAGTGCATAAGACCACAAATCAAACAAATATAGTCAGCCACGGATACATGCTGTGAAGAAAATTAATGCAGGATGAGGGAATGGAGAATTCTAGAGGTGGGGGAGGGGAATGACCATAGGACAAGCAGGTGCAAATGGGAATTGTTGGCACATAAAAGGAACTGCCAGGGGCTTCCCTGGTGGTGCAGTGGTTAAGAATCCGCCTGCCAATGCAGGGGACACAGTTTTGAGCCCTGGTCCAGGAAGATCCCACATGCCGTGGAGCAACTAAGCCCATGCGCCACAAATACTGAGCCTGAATGCCACAACTACTGAAGCCTACGTGCCTAGAGCCTGTGCTCCACAACAAGAAAAGCCACTGCAATGAGAAGCCTGCACACCGCAGTGAAGAGTAGCCCCCACTTGCTGCAACTAGAGAAAGGCCTGCATGCTGCCACGAAGACCCAATGCAGCCAAAAATAAATAAATTAATTAAATAAATTAAAAAAAAAAAAAAAAGGAACTGCTGGAGGGCCATGGGACTTAGGTCAACACAAGCAAAGCAGAGAGTGGTAGGAGAAGACAGAGAGATAGATAAGTAGGAACCAGATCATGTAAAGACTTGGCCATGGTAAAGATGTTGGCATGAGAGAGTGGAGGCAAGCATATTACCCTAGGGTTTTTCCTGGATGAACGAGATGAAAGATGGGGAACGAGGAAGTTTAGAGGAGGTCCACAAACCCAGAGAGTTCTGTTTTGGTCATAGTAAGTTTAAATGCTTCTTAGACATCCAAGCAGGGTTGGAGAGGAAACAACAGGATAAAGTCCAGGGCTCAGGAGAGAGTTGGGGACGAGATATAAATGTGGGAGTCATTGGTGTGTAGATGGTGCCACGATACTACATGAAATCACCCAGGAAGTGAGTATAGACAGAGAAGAGGACCAGTGACTGAGCACATCAGTATTTAGAGATGGGTAAAAGGACGAGGAGCCAATGAGGTAAGAGTGAGAGTGAGATATCCCTAAAGCCTAGTGGAAAGATAGTAAATAATTGTTATTCTCTGTTAATAAATATTGCTGAACAAACATTGTTCATTACTGTGACATGTTACAAAAAAAAAAAGTCTGACCTGATTATTAATTTTGTGAGGTCATGCCATGGAAGACCTAATTCAGGAGCTAGAAAACTGTCCCACTTTTTAATTTTCAGTACTTTCAGATAGCATCACCTCTCATACTGGTAGGAAATATAATTCTCCTAAGTAGAGCTATTCTCTCTCTTTATGCCTTAGGCTTTGTCTGAGAGAGGACATTTGGTAATTGTTTTGTTTTTAAATGACTTCCTTTCTGGCTAAATGAGAGGAAAGAGAATGAAATGAAATACAGTAGTATCTAGATAGTGGACAGATTCAAGATGGCTGTGTAATCGTTAATAATAATAATTTGGAAGTCAGATTTTTGTCTTCAGTAAACTTAAATTTGAAAATCCCAGTGATCACTATGAACTTTCTATACTTTTCTTATTCAACACCACATATTTTATTTTTATTTACTTATTTATTTAAAAAAATATTTATTTATCTATTTATTTATTTATTTGGGTTGCACCAGGTCTTAGCTGTGGCAGGCGGGCTCCTTAGTTGCAGCTCCAGGGCTCCTTAGTTGTGGGTCGCCGGCTCCTTAGTTGCGGCATGCGAACTCTTAGTTGTGGCATGTATGTGGGATCTAGTTTCCTGACCAGGGATCAAACCCGGGCCCCCTGCATTGGGAGCTCGGAGTCTTATCCACTGCGCCAGCAGGGAAGTCCCAACACCACATATTTTAGATAGAAACTATAATAAAGTATGTACGTTTCCAACTGAATATACCTTATTCTGAATTTTTCTACAGTTAATTCACATCTGAAACATATTTCATTATTATTTAATTGTTATTTAATCCTTTCATAATTCATAGAATTTTAGAACCAGAAAGAATTATGAACGCCTTTGGTGAAACAGAGAAAGGGACAGAGACAGTTTTTGTTCCTGGCTTCTTCAATACAATATCTACTGTAATTTTTACAACTTGGCCTACTCAGAACATCTAACATGGGGTTGGAAACAGAGAACTTTGAATTATCATTTTTTAGATAATGATTGATGTCATGAAAATAATCCAGGAAAGTATATAGCATGAAAACGTGACCTAAAACAAAACCTAGGAAAAAGGATCACCAAATGAGGAGGAACTAGCAAAAGAGAATTAGGGATGGTCCAAAATAGGAGAGAATCAAGAGAAAACAGTGTTTTTTGTAGCCCACATAAGAGTTTCAAGAAAGAGGATGATCAGGAGTATCCAGTGCTGCTGGGAGGTCAAGACTAGAAGTGGATTCTTGAAGACTGAAAATAGACTCTTTGATTCGGCAACATAGGGGTCATTGGTGATCCATGCAAGAGCCTTTGCATCGTGTAGTGAGGCTGAACATCAAGTTGTAATAGGCTACATGATTGAACTCAATTTCCAGCTCCCCTCCCATTTCAGGGCACTGAAAGTCCAAACTCTATAATCACGTGCTTGGTCTTTCAGGTGACCAGCCCCTATCCTGAAGCTATCTAGGGAATCACCAAGAGTCTCTCGGTTAGCATAACAAAGACACTCCTATCACTCAGAAAATTCCAAGGGTTGACGAAGACCTGTGTCAGGAACCCAAGACAAAGACCACACAAATCAGTTATTACACATTAGTGTACCGACCACAGGGAATTGAAGAGTACATAACACATTGCATGGTTGTATAGTATGCACTCAACATATTTTTCCTTTGTAAAATGATTGTCTGGGTTATGTTGGTCTAAATCAGAGTTATGAAAATTACAAACTACATCCAGATTTGGACTTGCCACTGTTGATCGTGTGGTGCGGTGATGCCATACCATTAATAACAATTCTAATTAGGGAATGTATGTTTTAGGAAGACGTATTCAGTTCCACTAAGAAATATGACCTCATTACTAAGTAGGAATTTGAGGCTGCTGCTCTTCTGTGCTATAGGTATGCTGTGGTCCGAAGAGCTAAATAATTTCTCATTAGGATTATGATAAGTCCATAGAAATTTACTAATAAAAATTCTAATGTAATACATCAACTAATACTTTACTTTTTTTCAAGTAATCTTCCTCTTTGAGGCATCAACTGGAAAACCACTGGGAGATGGGAAGCTTCTTTCTCATAAGGTAATGGATATTAGCTATTTTTAATGTAAATAGCCATTTTTTTTTAATTAATGTTTTCATTTTAAGGAGGAAAACATGGAAATTAGTTTTATATTTAAAACCAGTGTGTGTTCTATATAGAGTATTTTGCCTAAAATATCATAAAGACTAAACACGAGTAAATTCTGTAATAGAAAGCTATATTTGCAAATTAACTGAATAAAAGAATCTGACTTATATGTTTTTTTGTTCAGGCTCTTCACTGCTTTTCAATAAAATGTTGTATCTTGATTAAACTTTTAGCACCTATAGAATCAGTAAATAAAAATGTGTTTATACTTCAAAACAGCTTGTAGTTTTCCCATTAACCTGTTCTTTTTTAAAAAAAATAAATCTATTTATTTATGTATTTTTATTTGGGGCTGCATTGGATCTTCCTTGCTGAGCATGGGCTGTCTCTAGTTGCAGTGAGCGGGGGCTATTCTTCATTTTGGTGCACAGGCTTCTCATTGCGGTGGCTTCTCTTGTTGTGGAACACGGGCTCTAGGCACGTGGGCTTCAGTAGTTGTGGCTCGTGGGCTCTAGAGCGCAGGCTCAGTAGTTGTGTCTCATGGGTTTGGTTGCTCTGCGGCATGTGGGATCTTTCTGGACCAGGGTTCGAACCTGTGTCCCCTGCATTGGCAGGCGGATTCTTAACCACTGCGCCACCACCAAGGAAGTCCCCATTGACCTGTTCTTAGCCAACATTTTCTTTAGATTTTAAGACTGTAGTTAAACTGGAAAAAAAAAATCTATAGAAATACAAAAAGACCCTGAATTGTGAACTGTTTATTGGTTTCTGATTTTTAGCCTTAAAATAAACAAATGAGCACATTTTATTGAGTTATCCTTCTAATAAATGATGTATTAGGGTTTAAAGATGCTTTTAACTTTATTGTTCAGTGCTACCAGTGAAGTGTTACCCTATCTTTTATTTTCTTCTTTTTGTAATTATTAGTTTTAAAGTTAAATAACAAATATATTCAATGGTTCAGAAACAGAAAAGCATAAACAAGCATAAAGTGAAAAAGTATGCCTGCTATACCTGTCAATACAGTTCCTTTCTACCAAAATAAGTAACTATCACTATTAATCTCCTTATATCCTTCCAGAAATTTTTAATGCATACACAGACAAAACTGATATATGTTCTTTTCTCCTTCTTTTACAAAAATATAACATATATATCTGCACTTTGCTTTTCTCACACAACACTCTGTTTCTGGAGATATTTTCATATCAATACATAAAGTGCTTTCCCAATCCTTTTTCTTCCCACCATATAGTATAACATTTTATGGATGTATCAGAATTTGTTTAACTTGTGCCCAAGTGATGGACGCACATGGAAATGTGTTTCAGCTTACAGAATTTCAAAATATACATTATTTTATAGTGCTTTAACAGGCATCTTTCCCTTGTAAATTAAAAAAAAAGTATACTTTAGCTTTTGAATTATTAGTATATTAGCAGTTAAATTATTTAACAGGGACATTTTATCATTATGAGTAGGTAAGTGATATTTAATTGATCTTTAAATAAACAAATGTTCTTATAATTAAACAATTAAAACAATCTAATGTCAAGCACTAAAACTAACCCAGAATTTTCTTTTTTTTTTTTAATTTTAGAATGAAATTTTGGAAATTGCTCTAGATCAAAAGGGACTTACCAATGATAGAAAAATTGCTTTCATTGATAAAAATAGAGATCTCTGTATCACTTCAGTGAAACGATTTGGGAAGGAAGAACAAATTATCAAACTTGGTAAAATAATTGTAATACATTTAAATTTTTGATGACTTTCAGTTGTCTTAGATCTACTCTGTCGTATATTATACTAAATAGCTTACTTGCTTGAATGAATCTATGAATAATGCTTTGGTCTCATAACATTTCTTACGAAATGTTACTTCATAAGTATGTTCTTATGAAATGCTACTTAATTCCATTTTAACAGCAAGTCTTTAGCTGCTACAGCTAACTTGGCATTGAAAGAAAGACATGCAGATTAAAAATATAATGGTTCTGGGTAAAATACTCAAATTTATTTCCATAACTTTTTATGTGAATTTTTGTACGTTTTCACCATTATATGATCAGAAAATAGTCATACCTACAAGCAATTAGTTAGGGTCTTGTACATCTGCTGATTTTAAAGGTGTATTTTTAATACTTACATAATGGAACTAATAGTACATTAACATTCTTTTTAAAATAAGGAACAATGGTGCATACTCTGGCGTGGAGTGATACATGCAACATCCTCTGTGGACTTCAAGATACTCGATTTACAGTGTGGTATTACCCCAATACGGTTTATGTGGACAGAGACATTTTGCCTAAAACATTATATGAAAGGGATGCAAGGTAACATTTTACTGCATAGGATTGTTTATTGTTGTAAATAAAACTAACAGAGTGTTGTGTTTCTGCCTCTAATTTAAGTCCTGCAAGATGTTTTTCACTTTACTTAGTCAACCAAATAAAACTGTTCAGCTAGGGCTTCCCTGGTGGCGCAGTGGTTGAGAGTCCGACTGCCGATGCAGGGGACACGGGCTCGTGCCCCGGTGCAGGAAGATCTCACATGCCACGGAGTGGCTGGGTCCGTGAGCTATGGCCGCTGATCCTGTGCATCCGGAGCCTGTGCTCCGCAACGAGAGAGGCCACAACAGTGAGAGGCTCGCGTACGGCAAAAAAAAAAAGAAACAAAACAAACAAACAAAAAAATTGTTCAACTAAGACTAGTTTAATGAGATTTAAGTGATGGAATCAAGTTGAAAGGGTCAGATGATACTATTTTATTTATTTATTCCTTAAATGAATATAATTTTTCCTTATATGGATATAATTTTCAGGTTTACTGTTGTTTAATGGTAACTCAGGTCGTTTTTTCAGTGTGGTTTAGTTATTTTAATATAGGCACTCTTAAGATTTTTCTGTGATATATAACTTTGTGACAACCTTTACTCTTTCTCAGATTATCATTGACCTTGAGACTTTCAGGAATGTATGTCTTTCTAGAATTGAATTCTTAAATTAATATTAAATATAGAAAAATGTATACTGAAAAGCTTTTAAAATTTTTTATAGTCTTCAGAAAATCAAATGCATTTATATTCCTAAATTCTCTAAGAAATAGCAAGGAGGTCTCTCACTCTTGACGAACTAGGTATACAAAGGCTTCTCAACTCCAAATCTTAGCTTAATTTTCAAATCTATTTTGAGTTCATTTTTAATATTCAAGCTCACAACATTAGCAAAACCAGAGAGGTATTCTATAAAAAATTTTTTAACTAATGAAGAGAAGTTAGTCTCTTTAAAGTTCACCTCTTGTTATTATGAGAAAATAATCCTGGAATCAGCTTAATTTTTAATGTTTATACTTTTAAAAGCTGAAGCTAAGTGCTTTAATCATTTGTGTGATTTACCTTAGGACTTAGAAAAAATCACTTCAAATGCTTTTAGGCATAGTTCTCAAAAATGTAATAATTTTTTGCCATGTTAAAATGTTTGTATATTTTGCTAGTTTGTATATTTTGCTAGTTAGATTCAAATATTTGTTTAATATACATACATTCTCCCTGGAGTTTACTTTTTTGGGAGTGCATTTTGGAGGTTGGAGATTTCATATGTATGTCAGGGGTCAACTCCCCAAATTTAATATATATGAAAAATTTTGCTTAGAATATAAATTGCACTTTTCCTTTTTTCAACAGTGAATTTAGTAAAAATCCCCATATCGTGAGTTTTGTTGGAAATCAGGTAACTATAAGAAGAGCTGATGGCTCACTGATTCACATCAGCATATCACCATATCCTGCTATTCTCCACGAATACGTAAGCAGTTCAAAATGGGAAGATGCTGTAAGACTTTGTCGTTTTGTTAAGGTACTTTACATTTCAGATCCATAGTTGTGTATATATTGTATATTAGTTTATATAATATCTTTGTGCAAAATGAGAAATAGTAAGAGCTAAGGGCGGGAAAAATTGCAAATGGGATCACATCTTTTTTTTAATAAGTGAAGGCATGCGTGATACAGAGAGATAGGTGTTGTGTGATTTATTCTCTGAAGAAGCTATACTTTAAGTGAGTAGTTTCTTCTTACTGGTACATATAAAAACCTCTTATGGAACTTTTTTTTAAAAGTCAGATTCCCAAGTTCTACCCCCCACAGAGATTCTAATTTATTAGATCCAGTGAGTCTGGGCATATTTTTAAGTTCCTCAGATTATTTGTACAGCTAAGGTTAAGAACCACTCACTACTTTAGATCAACATTTCCCAACCTGGTTGAATCAAGTATTTTCCAAGCATATTTGACCGCAGAACTGTTTTGTTTTACATTGGTTAATTCCCTTAGACGACACTTTTGTGAAGACTTTTAGATGCTTTTCCTTAAAATGGGTTGTTGGTGGCAATCTGCTATAATAGCGTTGTCTGAGAAACTCACTGTTTCTCTGGTTCCCTGTAGTTGCATTCTTTGACATCTCATCAAAACCATATGATCATCTCAATAGATGCAGAGAAAGCTTTTGACAAAATTCAACACCCATTTATGATAAAAACCCTGCAGAAAGTAGGCATAGAGGGAACTTTCCTCAACATAATAAAGGCCATATATGACAAGCCCACAGCAAACATCATCCTCAATGGCGAAAAACTGAAAGCATTTCCACTAAGATCAGGAACAGGACAAGGTTGCCCACTCTCACCACTCTTATTCAACATAGTTTTGGAAGTTTTAGCCACAGCAATCAGAGAAGAAAAGGAAATAAAAGGAATCCAAATCAGAAAAGAAGAAGTAAAGCTGTCACTGTTTGCAGATGACATGATCCTATACATAGAGAACCCTAAAGATGCTACCAGAAAACTACTAGAGCTAATCAATGAATTTGGTAAAGTGGCAGGATACAAAATTAATGCACAGAAATCTCTGGCATTCCTATATACTAATGATGAAAAATCTGAAAGTGAAATCAAGAAAACACTCCCATTTACCATTGCAACAAAAAGAATAAAATATCTAGGAATAAACCTACCTAAGGAGACAAAAGATCTGTATGCAGAAAATTATAAGACACTGATGAAAGAAATTAAAGACGATACAAATAGATGGAGAGATATACCATGTTCTTGGATTGGAAGAATCAACATTGTGAAAATGACTCTACTACCGAAAGCAATCTATAGATTCAATGCAATCCCTATCAAACTACCACTGGCATTTTTCACAGAACTAGAACAAAAAATTTTGCAATTTGTATGGAAACACAAAAGACCCCGAATAGCCAAAGCAATCTTGAGAACGAAAGAAGGAACTGGAGGAATCAGGCTCCCAGACTTCAGACTATACTACAAAGCTACAGTTATCAAAACGGTATGGTACTGGCACAAAAACAGAAAGATAGATCAATGGAACAGGATAGAAAGCCCAGAGATAAACCCACGCACATATGGTCACCTTATCTTTGACAAAGGAGGCAGAAATGTACCGTGGAGAAAGGACAGCCTATTCAATAAGTGGTGCTGGGAAAACTGGACAGCTACATGTAAAAGTATGAAGTTGGATCACTCCCTAACACCATACACAAAAATAAGCTCAAAATGGATTAAAGACCTAAATGTAAGGCCAGAAACTATCAAACTCTTAGAGGAAAACATAGGCAGAACACTCTATGACATAAATCACAGCAAGATTCTTTCTGACCCACCTCCTAGAGTAATGGAAATAAAAACAAGAGTAGACAAATGGGACCTAATGAAACTTAAAAGCTTTTGCGCAGCAAAGGAAACCATAAAGAAGACCAAAAGACAACCCTCAGAATGGGAGAGAATATTTGCAAATGAAGCAACTGACAAAAGATTGATCTCCAAAATTTATAAGCAGCTCATGCAGCTTAATAACAAAAAAACAAACAACCCAATCCAAAAATGGGCAGAAGACCTAAATAGACATTTCTCCAAAGAAGATATACAGAGTGCCAACGGGCGCATGGGAGAATGCTCAACATCACTAATCATGAGAGGAATGCAAATCAAAACTACAATGAGATATCATCTCACACCAGTCAGAATGGCTATCATCAAAAAATCTAGAAACAATAAATGCTGGAGAGGGTGTGGAGAAAAGGGAACCCTCTTACACTGTTGGTGGGAGTGTAAATTGATGCAGCCACTGTGGAGAACAGTATGGAGGTTCCTTAAAAAGCTACAAATAGAACTACCATATGACCCAGCAATCCCACTACTGGGCATATACCCTGAGAAAACCATAATTCAAAAAGAGTCATGTACCAAAATGTTCATTGCAGCTCTATTTACAATAGCCCAGAGATGGAAACAACCTAAGTGTCCATCATCGGATGAATGGATAAAGAAGATGTGGCACATATATACAATGGAATATTACTCAGCCATAAAAAGAGACGAAATTGAGTTATTTGTAATGAGGTGGATAGACCTAGAGTCTGTCATACAGAGTGAAGTAAGTCAGAAAGAGAAAGACAAATACCGTATGCTAACACATATATATGGAATTTAAAAAAAAAAAATGTCATGAAAAACCTAGGGGTGAAACAGGAATAAAGACACAGACTTACTAGAGAATGGACTTGAGGCTATGGGGAGGGGGAAGTGTAAACGGTGACAAAGCGATAAAGAGGCATGGACATATATACACTACCAAACGTAAGGTAGATAGCTAGTGGGAAGCAGCCGCATAGCACAGGGAGATCAGCTCGGTGCTTTGTGACCGCCTGGAGAGGTGGGATAGGGAGGGTGGGAGGGAGGGAGACGCAAGCGGGAAGAGATATGGGAATATATGTATATATATAACTGATTCATTTTGTTGTGAAGCTGAAACTAACATACCATTGTAAAGCAATTATACTCCAATAAAGATGTTAAAAAAAAAAAAAAAAAAAAAAAAAAAAGACTGGAGGGCTTATAACCTTGAATTACGGTAAAAGTATATTGTAAGTTCAAAATAAACCTTTGATAATTAGAAATGAACATTTTCAAAAAACTTTATTCAAAACTTTCTCTATGTGTTATTAATATATTTTAACAAAGTAGCCAAAATGAAATTTCCACATCATTAACCTATTAAATTATTGGTTTTTCAGTGCCATGCTCAGTGATTTTTTTATTTTTCATTAAAATATAACTTTATTCTATTTTAATTCACTGTTTATTTTAAGGCAGTTCAGCCCTGTAGTTGAAATAATTGTTCTCATTTTTCACTTTAGGAGCAAACCATGTGGGCTTGCCTAGCTGCTATGGCAGTCGCTAATCGAGATATGACTACTGCAGAAATAGCCTACGCAGCAATTGGTGAAGTAAATAATGTTTACTTACGTGTATGTGTTTGTGTGTTTTTCTGACCGTAATTTGTTACTATTCACTTCAAATATTTTCCTTTTTTTTAGATTGATAAGGTTCAATACATCAATTCTATAAAAAATCTTCCATCTAAAGAATCAAAAATGGCCCACATATTAATGTTTAGTGGGAACATACAGGAAGCTGAAATGGTACTTCTTCAGGCTGGCCTTGTTTATCAAGCAATTCAGATCAATATTAATCTCTACAACTGGGAAAGGTAATAAAAATGTTTTTCATCAATTCCAAAACCTGATTGATCTTAGTGTATTCTTCTACCGACCACTTAGTAAATTACATCTTCCACTGTACTTGTTTCCTAGTAGCATATAAGAATTTATTCACATTTATATTTGTGAGTAGTTTGCCATTAAAGATTTTTGCCTTCTCTGAATCATGATTGATTAGAAGTTGTCTGTGAAGAAGAAAAGAGAGTCTAGGATGTCTCCAGAATTTCTGATTTCAGTAACTGGATAGATGGTGGTAAGAATATTAGCAGATTTGGAAGAGATGTTAGATTTGAAATATTTGTGAAGAGATAAGTGATAATAGTTGATTATTGGACCTGGAGCTCAAGAAAGATTTGAACTAGAGATGTCAATTTAGGAGTCATCAGCAAATGAATGGAAGCTAGAAGAATGGATGCAGTTGCCTGGGGAATGTGAGGAGTGAGAAGACATAAACTATTTTTATGGGATGGGTGAAAAAAAAGAGAAATCCGCGGAAAGATTGGGGTAAAGCAGTCAGACAGGCAGAGAGAGGAGCCAAGGAAGATTTGTGAAGCTAAGGAAGAGATACCAAAGGATTTGTAACGAGGAGTGGTCAGTAACCTTCCCCGCTGCCTTAGGCTTTGGGACAGGTTGCTTTCTGAGGCTGAGTGGCAGGCTGCTCTTCTCTATGACATATTAGGTTTCTCTACTCATTCTCTCAGGTATGTCTCTCTCAGTGAACAAGGTTGTAGTGCTTATATGCACCTGAAGTTACTGTGTTACAAAGCTGGCATGTTGACTTTTCCAGGTTTGAAATGTCTTTCATCATCTTCGTCTCTCTCTGTGCTCAAAAATAACCCATAAATCTTTCAATTACTGGCCCCTTACTTATAATCCCCTCAGATTAGAATTTTTATAGTCCTATCTCTATCTTCCCCTTGAATAGAAGTAACAAAATGGCTAAAAAAGTAACAAAAGGTAGTTAATTTTGTTATGGACATACTATAGTCTCTTTATTTAATTTATACATTAATTATCTACACTCTTCATACAATTCAGCCACCCTGTTTCTATCCTTTATTTTCACAAATTTGTTGTCATTGTTTGGCTATACAAAGGATCATGAAAGATGTTTTAGGTTCTACAAATATGAATAGACCATTGTTCTTATCCTCAATTTATTCATAATTCACAAATATTAAAGTAAACTATTTTGGAAAGAGACAGTATGAATAATTTTTTAAAAGCCTGTATTAAAGAACTAACAGAAAATTGTATATACCATTACTAAGCCATGAGTTCCATGAGAAATAGGGAAGAATGGTGTTCACAGCATATTTTCAACTGATACTTTTGAGAAAATGTTTATGTTGATAAATGTTAGGCATTACTATTTATATAGCACTCTGAACACCATATAGTATAACAGATATTTTAAAAGTCATCCTTATATTAAAAAGCTTGCAACCTACTTAGGAATTCCATTTTATTGTCATTAATAATAGTGAGGCTTCTATTTATTGAGTGCTTATCATGTGCCAAGAATTGTGTTAAACACTTTCCTTATATCATCTTATTTGGTCATCACAACATTATACAAATGAGGAAGATGAGGGTTACTCATAAGCAGCTGGCTGATCTAGGATTTGAACCTAAGTCTTCCAGTATCAAAGAGGACCTGAATTTTCTGCTATTACCGCAATAAAATATATACTGCTGATACTACTACTTACATTGTTTTATAGGATTGATGTTTACCTCTTTTGTTATTTATCTGTGTAAATTTTATGTCACCTTTCACCTTTCAAATTATACACTTCTAGAAGGACAGAAACATTTTATCATTTTATATTATCTACATACATAGTAGGTACTTAATATTCATGCTCTTAATCTTTATGCAGTACTCTTAATCATTTTGCCTTGCACTTCCTCTACAAACATTGGGTGTAGATACATACAGTATATAAATATCAGAGCAGGTCTGTGAAGCATTTGCCTCTGATGGCTTCTATTGATGGCCTATAATACAGCCCTTTGAACATTTCTCATACCTCCTTGACCTAAGTGAAAATTACCTCTTTCCAGAGGACACTCCTTCCCTACCAGTCCTCTCAGATGGAGTCAGTTTATTCTCTCTGACTCCACATTCCTTAGGTCTGGGTGTGAGTGCAGTTGGTGTCCTTTTTGCCTCCCCCATCTTTACTTCTCTTGTAAAATCTCTGATCCTTTGAGACTTAGGTCATGTGACTATACTTATTCTCTGCTGCTAACTTCACATCTTCCCTACTATCCCTACATCCTGCTATCTGTGCCGCCTCTTCCTCTCCTCCAGTTTTCAGCAAATGACTCTGCCTTAAGATATTAGATCTCAGGGAGAGGGAAAACAAGAGGGACAAAGAGATATAATGGGGAGAGAGAACGAATGCTGGGTGCTCCTCCGTTCCTCCTATCTACCTGGCATCTCCTTATCTTATGCTTTGTGTTTTTCATCTAAACTATAAACCAATGGGTTGGTCAAATGCTGGTAGACCTTTATGCCTGCCTGGTAAGTCAATAAACGTCAAGGAGCGTTGTTCAAGGCTCCTGATTACTATTTACACACTTAAGACTCCCAAATATGCATCTCTCTTCTAGCCCTCTGTCCTGCCCATGTTTGCTTCCAGAACCCAGTTATCCACCTGCCTATTCAGCATTTCCATTGGCTGTCTCATATGTTTGAGTTCAAATTTATATTTATTCCCTCATAAACTTGTTTCTCTTCCAGAGTAATCTATCTTATCTTTTCAGTCTACCCAAAGCTGGAAATTTAGGAGTTACTTTTGACATTTTCCTTACCCTCTTTCCCCCATACTCCAATTACCAACCATTTTCCCTCTCAAATACCTCTGGCACTCATCCACTTTACTACCAGCACCCTTATCTAAGCTGATCCAAGTTTTTCTTTTTTCTTTTCTTTTTTTGGCCACACCGTGCGAGCTTCTTAGTTCCCCGACCAGGGCTTGAATCCACACCCCATGCAGTGAAAGTGTGGAGTTTTAACCACTGGACCGCCAGGGAATTCCCTGATCCAAGTTTTTCTTAATAAAACATCATCATTGGTCTCTCTGCACCTACCTTGTCCTTTTCCTATCCATTCTTCATAGTGATCTTTTCACAGTGGAAATCATCATGTCACTCGTGACCCCTGACTCACTTAAATGAAACCCATAGTTTCCCATCACTTTTAGCATAAATATCAAAGACTGGATAAGAATGACTTCAGATAATCAGCAGAAGTAATTATAACTGCTAAGAAACTCTTAAAAATCTTATGTATTGTCTTCATTTCCAAATTCTGCAGATATTTCTGAAACCAGTTGGAATATTTCTTCCTAATGCATATTCATTCATTCAGCAGATATTTATTGAATGTCTGCCATACCAGACATATTTAGATATAACATGGAGATCTGCTAAAAACAACAACAGCAGTCTTTTGGTGAAATGTCTGGTCATTTTTTTTTAAAAGTATTTATTTATGTTTTAATTTGTTTGTTTGCTCCGGCTCCTTAGTTGCAGTACGTGGGCTCCTTAGTTGCAGCATGCTAACTCTTAGTTGTGACATGCATATGGGATCTAGTTCCCAGACCAGGGATCGAACCTGGACCCCGTGCATTGGGAGCGCAGAGTCTTAACCACCGAGCCACCAGGGAAGTCCCACGTCTGGTCATTTTTAATGACTTGTTCAAAAGGGCTGCTGAATGGTACAAAGACAAATGTAGTGGTTAAGAATGGGGGCTTTGAAATAAGACCTGGGTTTGATTTCTGGTTCTGCACTTACTAGTCCTGTGATCTTGGACAGATTAGTGAGGCTCTGTAAGCCTCTGTTTCCTTGTGTTTAAAATGGTGATAATAACAAACACTACATGTTTGTTGTCGGGATTAAGTAAAATAGCATGTGAAAATCTCTTAGCATACTGCCTGATACATAGTAAGCCTTCAATAAATGGTAGCTACTATTCATTCTTTAATTATTTATTGAATGTCTCTAGTGTGCCAGGTTTTAGGCATGGGGGGATATAGCAATGAACAAAACTGACAAAGTTCTGTGATGACAATTTTGATTCTAAATGATATAGCTAACATAAAAAAATAGAAGTAAGAGGGATAAATACTTGGATCCAATATAGGACTCAGCTTATACCAACATAATCCAAAGAATGGCTTGCTTAGAGAGTAGAATAATCCCCATCTGCGAAGATATTCAAACATAGGACGATGATAAAATTATGTGACTGATTAATTAATAATAGACTTCTTGCATGCCTATCTATGTAGATGGTGTTCTTTTAAAAATGATCTTATTTTTTCTCCACATGTATTACCCTCTTCTGGGAGTGAGTAAATAATTGTTCTCATAAACTAAGACTTCCAGAACTGGTTTATGTTATCGAATAGTGTTTCGAGTTTTTAAAAAATTTTTGAGTGTTGTGTATATTCCAGGAAAGTCTGGCAGGCCTTTAATTTGTCTGTGTCTTTCATCAGGAGGGTAAGCCCACATTTGGTATCTGTGTAGAACCGAAGCTGTACTGGATGGTAAATTTTTGTGTTGGGGTGAGTGGGGAGGGCGGGGTGGTGACTAAGCTGTCTAACAATTTGGATTTGTTGAGTTTTAGTTACCTTTGTGTATCCAGTTCATGAGGTCCAGCAGGAGTGGGATATACAGGTGTGAAGTTGAGGGGAGGTCCTAGACATTGGGGGAAAGACACTGAGGGAATTATCAGCCTTTGGAGTAGCTGCGGCCATGAGTGTGGCTCAAGAATTTAAAGAAGGAAAAAGAAAAGAGAGCAGGGCTTCCCTGGTGGCGCAGTGGTTGAGAGTCCGCCTGCCGATGCAGGGGACGCGGGTTCGTGCCCCAGTTCGGGAAGATCCCACATGCCGCGGAGCGGCTGGGCCTGTGAGCCGTGGCCGCTGAGCCTGCGCGTCCGGAGCCTGTGCTCCGCAACGGGAGAGGCCACAACAGTGAGAGGCCCGCGTACCGCAAAAAAAAAAAAAAAAAAGAGAAAAAACAAAAAAAAGAAATGAGGGCAGCAGGCAGGTTTCCCCTGAAATTCAACACTTAATGATCTGGTTGAAGAGGAGGATTCAGCGAAAGAGATCAGGAGGGACCAAAAAAGATGGAATTTAAAAACTATTTATTATGGAAAATTTCAAATGTATACAAAAGTAAAGAGAATAGTATAATAAATCTCCATGTACCCATCACTCAGCTTCAACAGTTATCAGTTTGTGAATAATCTCTACTCCTCCTCTATCCCTCCCCACAATTTTTAAAAGCAAATCCCAGTCATATCATTTTATCTATGAATATCTCAGTATGTATCTTAAAGATTTTTTTAATCCAGCCACAGTATCATGATCACACTTTTAAAGTTAACAATACTTCTATTCAGTGTGCTTATTTCTCTGATTATCTCATAAATGTTTTGTTTTATGGTTTGTTTGATTCAGGATTCATAAAATATTCATACATTTTGATTGGTTGATACATTCTTAGGTTTCTTTTCATCTATAGGTTCTCTTATTTCTTTTTTGTGTTTTCTTGCTATTTTCCCAACTTGGCCTGTAGAATTCTGGAAGGATAGAATTTAAGTATTGGATGATAAATATATTAGATTGCTTTTAGGATCCCTGAATTTCTATATTTGTTTAAATCCTTTAGAAGGGAACAGATTTACTTTGTTAATATGGGTTATTCTATTTGAGAAGCATAGTCTTGCTGCTTTGTGCTTCCGTCATTTATATTTGAACTTGAAAATTGCCTGCAACCTAATAAGATGCAGCCCTTGAGGAGTAGTAGATATGCAAGTTATCTCTTTGACATTCACTTTGGACATTTGGTGGTAGTCTGTTTTCAAACACTGAAGTTAAGAGAGGTAGAAACTAGAAGCTCCAGGTATGCATATTGATCCTTTATGTAAGTATTAATAAAAATAGTTTTACTACTTATACCAGTTATATAAAGTGATTCTGCTTCATTCAAGTTATGCAAAAAAATTATATTTTGAAGTTATAACATCTTTTAATGTAACTTCCTTCTGTTTAAAATCAGAGAGGATACATGGAGTTTTTCCAGCCCCATAATCTAATGTTACATTTGTTTGGTTGCTGAATAACCATTTTAAAGCTAGAGACATACTGTTCCCATAACTCTTAGATAATTTGGAGTAAATTCCCTCCTAAATGTGGTAGAGAAACATTTTTTACCCAGTGTGTGCTTTTAGAGAACATTTAAAATAGCGCATATCATTTGAATGTTTAACTTTAGCTATTGCTTTTCAATCAGATAATTAATATGTATTTTATAATAATAATAATGACTGTAATAGCAGATAAGTCTTAGCATCTAAATGCAGGATTAGGAACTTCCCTGGTGGTCCAGTGGTTAAGACTTTGCCTTCCAATGCAGGGGGTGTGGGTTCTATCCCTGTTCGGGGAGCTAAGATCCCACATGCCTTGCAGCCAAAAAACCCAAAACATAAAACAGAAGCGATATTGTAACAAATTCAATAAAGACTTTAAAAATGGTCCACATGAAAAAATCTTTAAAAAAAAATAAATGCAGGATTAGACACCATAGTCTATCCTTTCTACATAATTAAACGTGTTGATGTTCCATAACAAAGTCTCTCTTTGGAATTTTTGAAAAGCCCCAACCCAGAATAGATGCTTATGTATTCCCCACTTAGAACACCTCCAGTTTTGCACAGTCGAGAACTCCTTTCCCCATCATGTACAATCATAAAGAAAGAATGGGAACTGGAACTTCTGAGGTGCCGGCGAGGTTGTTCACCAGAGTCTCCACTCACGCATACAACACGGGAATCAGAGCCTTAGGGATGAAGAGGGGGCTGATGTGAGAGAGGGCTAGAAGAATTAAGGCATCTTTACTTCTGTTTCTCATCTTTTGAGCCTCTATAGATCGTTTCTTGCCTTCTCTTGTTTTCTACTTTTGTTCCTCTGTATCCTAATACCTCTGCATTTTTTCCGTGTGTCTTTTTCTCTGAAAGACATAAAGTCACAGAGGAATGAGGGAACTTTGTGAGGAGTTTGTGATGGGTAGCAAATATCCTTGGATTTAGCAATATTGTTTATGCCAATATATTTTTGTAAGAAATCATTGTACTGAACTTTGACATTATCATTTGTATTATACATGACTTACATTCATAATTTATCACGTTGTCTTTAATATCTCAATTGTCTATCATTTGTCAATTAATACATACATAATATCTAAAATACTTTTTAAAGTGACAATTTAGTTTACATCAAACCAAAGCATGCTAAGAATCAAACAAATTTTCCTACTAAACAGTCACACATTGCAAAAATTCTAGTCAGTAGCCAGTTTTGTCTAAAACAACAAGTTTGTAATAGTTGGCTCTGATAAACCATCACTGGCCTATTCAGAAATCATGTGTTATATTAGAAAGCAAGAGAACTTGAGAAATATTGTACTTTGACTATTATGATGACTGTTTCCCATACCTTAAAACAGGATAACAATGAACAGTGTAGGAGAGCTATATTCTACTAGACTGTTCCTGGCTCAGCTAATATGAGTTATGCATAGGATCACGGGCTGAGTTGCTGTCCAAAACCTACATGCAAAAATAGGCCTGGAACTGAAGAAGAATCTTTTCATCTCCCTCCAAATTATCAATATATAGATTTTATGCCTTTGGTGTTATAACAGTGAGTTTAGCAATTCATTTAGTTCTTGTCTGCTATTTAAATAAAATATTACCTTAAAATAACTTGGTTACATGGATAGATATTAATTAACTTATAAAATTTAAATGGCTATTAACTTTTTCTAAGAATCAAATGGCAAAAGGCATTTTGTCAGACTTTTATTATCCTCAAATTTTATTTTCATAATATTTTTAATTTACTGTACTAATAATAAGGATAAGTTAGGGTATCAGTATTTAGTTGAATATTGAACAGAATAAATTCATTACTGACTTAAAAAATGGTCAAGATAGTCGAACCACTTACATTAGGGAGTTCATTCACTTGAATTTTATTATGATTTCAATGAATTTTTCAATGAATATTTATGATACATACACTCTGTAGTACTCACCAAAGAGAGATGAAACCCAGATCTCCCTTCAATAAATGTATAGGTTAGTGGAAGGAACAGATTCATAATAGTTACAATACACTGTAAGCAGAGCTGAAATAATAGTATGTATAAAATGTTCTGTAGCACAGATAAGATATAATGGTCATTTATTTCTACAAGGAGAGCTGGTCAGGGAGAAGAGATCATGTTTGGTCTGGACCCTGAAGTATAAATAGGAATTTGCAAGATGGATAAGGTAGGGAATGACGTACCTTTCGTATTGAGGGAGGAGTGGAGGGATCAACATAGACTCTCCCACCCTTTCACCCCGAAACTCCACTGCCCATAGAGGCTAACACAGCAGTGCGGATAATCTGTTTTCTTTCTCATCGTAGGGCACTTGAATTAGCTGTTAAATACAAAACACATGTTGATACAGTGCTGGCCTACCGACAAAAGTTTTTGGAGACATTTGGTAAACAGGAAACTAATAAACGATACCTGCAGTATGCAGAAGGTGTAAGTATTATGCAGTATTTGATAATAATGTATATGCTTTATAAGTATGTATTATTCATCCTAATGTGACAAAATTTGAATAATTCTTACCATAATCTCTAAAACAAACTACTTTTTGCCTTTCAATGTTAGTCTTATTTTGACTATGTAATTATATTACTGAATATTTTTCTGGACTCTTATAGCCATGTTTTGATTAACTCAAGTCTGGTTTTATAATATTCGATTTGTGTTAAGGTTGTGTGCTAACTGATATTTTTAGATAAACAGTATAAATGGCAAGGATGAAGGCTTCTAGCTCCTGAATTTTGTCTTCTACCAGCTGCCCTTTCTGCTCCAGGGGAAATACATAAGCACAGAGGGCACTGGCCAGAAAGTGGATACTTTGCCACTTTGCAGATTCTATCTAGGGAGCTCAGTTGCACTTCAAAAGGTGCCTGGCCTGGGTAGAGTTCACCGCCTAGAACAAAAGAATGCTAACCCTTTGCCTCTCAAGTTCCTACCAGAATATAAGGTTTTCTAAACCCAGTTAGAAAAAAGCCATTCCAGTACATATCAGCACACAGGAGAGCCAGAGCAAGGGCGTTTGTCCCAGCGCCTAGAGCAGAAAAGGTTTTGGCCACCTGCCCAGATCCTTCTATACTCAAATGGCAGAAATAGAGCTCACCTGTAGCCATGCAGATTCAAGAGACTTGTAATCCCCAAACAGGGCCAACCTTGCTCCCAGCTCTGTGAACTAGTTGATTCCTTTAGCCTTTTAGTCATTCATTTATTTAAAACATGTTTATGAGTACTAACTCCAGGCCAGGCACTATGCTATGTGTTGAAACAGATATGGCTTCTGTCTTCATGGAGCTTATAGACTGTGGGAGTGCTCCTCCTTGGGGATAGAATAAAATGGAATGTTCTGATTTATCGTAGGGGGCAGAATATATAAGAGGAAGCTTGGGAAGAGGAAAGAAGATGTAAAGGGAAGGCACCTACTAAAGGCAACATTATCCATTTGCCGTATTTAGAATATTGAGTGTCATGAACCACATTTTTGGACTTCAGACCAGTTTTCAGGGTAATGAAGCCTTTGGGGCCATTCTTAGTTCCGCAGTGCAACTTTATCATCTGGATCCAGGATAGACACAAGTTGTGGGTTTCTTGGTGGAAAGGGATGTATTTTGTAGAAGCTCCACAAAATGTTTTTTGTTTGATTCAGAACTGTTTACTGCTGAAATGGATCCTTCGGGAGTTTGGGCTATGAGGGCTTCCCTGGGAGCTCTGAGGGCTATACTCTCAATTCACAGAATATGACAGCAGCCACCAGCACTGAGTGCTAAGCAGCCCAGAGATTCAGTAGTCACCTCCTCTTTTTTGTCTCAGTTTTGAAAATATGACAGTATGTTAAAAATGAGCACCCACCTTAAATTTACTTTATTGTGTAATTTTTAAGCAGATTAATACTCTGCTTCCTCTTCATCATCATTACTAACAATATTATTTTCACTGTGTTCTCATTAGGTGCTTTTGAGGACATAAAAAATATAGTTTTTACCCTCAAGGAAATTATATTTCAGATATTAAAAACTTAACATTCATATCTTATTTTTCATTATATACGTATTCACCTATAACTAACATATGATACTTCAGTCACAAGAGTAGTAGAAATGTTCAAAGTGGGAGAATCAGAACAACACGGCTTTTTTTGGTATTTTGGTTTCTTTTCATCCTGAAACTATATAGGTTACTTTGAGTCCCTATGGCACTATGTTCTAGTTTCCCACTTTTCTTCTTCACAGATGTAATTTGGAAGTTAACTAGAAATCATACAGCAGTATTTTAAGATGAAAATTATCTTTGACTTAAAAATTATCTTAGCCAAAATTGTGATTATATAAACTCTTTATTTCAGAACTAAGAATTGAATAGAAAAAGATCATTCTTAAAAAGAAGTTTATTCTCCCTATCTGGTGAACTCAAATGGGCTCACAACGCATAGCGTAAAAGTTTATAAGAAGTGAAGTTTGACATACATTCATATTTATGAACCCTGAAATGTTACTTGGGCCTTTCTAGTTTAAAATATGGAAATCTGAGATCCATACACGGTGTACTATCTTCTGAGAACCCCATTAGAGTCATTATACTTGCTCTACAAGGGTGTTCAGTAAGTATTTGTAAAATAATTTATGAGTCTGGCAAATAAAGTCCACTTGAGGAATACATTCAATCTATTGAATACATACTCTGTGCAGGAAGAGAAGTAGAAGAGACAGGAAATGTTTAAAGCATTATGCTAGCAGAAAGAAAAAAAGAGGGAAAAACAGGAGAGAAAATAACAAGAGATTGTTAAGTGATAGCTCATTTGCTGGATAATTAGTTACCTTTTATTCATTCAGTATTTACTGAGCACCTCCTGCAGACAATGTACTCTCCTTGGTGGTGGGGATATAATAGTAAACCTGGCAAACACTGACCCTCGTGAAACTTATATTCAAATGGGGGTGATAGTTAATTATACAGTTAATTGTTCATTGCAGTTGTGATAATTGCCTCGAAGGTAGTGTACATAGTGCTGTAAGACTTTATGAATGACAAGCCTGACCTGGAGTGGGGGGGGGGATCAGCAGATTTTTCTAAGCAAAGCAATTGCTATTTGAGCTGAGCTGTAAAGAATGGATAGTAGAAGCTGACTGAGGGTGTGGTGGGAGAGTGTGGCGATGGCCGTGTTCTAAGCTGAGGGAAGGCTCTGAAGTGGGAAAGAGTGACGAGCAAAAGGGAGATTGACCTGAGGGTTTCATAGGGCAAATTCGGTATATTGGATTTACCCAAAGATTAATGTAAAGATACTGAATGGAAGTGACGTGATCACTTTTCCCTTTTACAATCCCAGTTCCTAAGTGGAAACGGAAACTTGGAATTTTCCGCCAAAGTATCCTTTTTTCCCCTTTGGAAATTGTATACTTTGTATTTGTTAGTTTTCATTTTTAAAATTTATTTGTTTATTCCATGGAATTACCTTGAGTAGGATTTTGTCAGTCAGTTAAAGGATATGATAATAAGAGCAAATGCATGGAATCTTGAAAGAATGGTGAAGGAGTACAGAGCGACTGCCCTGGGTCCTGGGTGCTGGGTACTGGGTGGCTGGAATATTGATGGGACCAGACATTAAAGAGTCTTAACGCTGTTAAGACTTATAATAGACCTTATAATGGAGGCAGACCTTATAATGGAGGCAGTGCAAAGACTTGGAGGTTTGTAATCAAGGAAATGACCTGAAAGATAACTTCTGATGTGGAAGATGGATTAGAGGTAAGGGTGGTGACTAGGAGACCAGTTAGGAGGTTACTGTAATAATCTCAGCAGGAGATGGAGACTGTAGGATTAATGTAAGAAAAAGTAGCAGTAAAATTAATAGAACATTGTGGTTGGGGGTGGTAGGAGAGGTGGTGAGGTAAGGCAAGACATTTGAGAACAACTTCAACATTCCTAGTGTTGGTGACTGGTAGAGGAACATGAGCATATATGAGTTTTGGACCTTTTGAGTTTGAATACATGAAAATAGGCCATTGTTTTGAGTTTGAAATCCCTGTGGGGTGGCCCCTATCTAGGCAGAGATGTCTAGTGGGCAGTTGGAAATACCAATGTGAACATCAAAGGGTGTTGATAAAGGAAGAATCAGGGCTAGAGAAATAAATTTATGGTCATGACCATTTAGGAATAGTTGAAGCTATGAGAGTTGAGGAGATCTCCTAGGGAAAGTATGAAAAAGCTGTGGTTGGAACCCCAGTGAATACTAACAGTGAAGAGGTTACTGAGGGGAAGGATATAGGAGAAAAAGAAAAAGAAAAACAAAAGACTGAGGACATTTAGAAAAGAGAGCAGAAACCAGAAGAGAACAATATTGTACTGAGAGAGATATTTCAAAGAGCGGTGGTCAGCCAGGTCCAGGGGATGCTCCTACATCAGGACCTTTTTCTTCCCTCTGTCTGTTAGTATGCTGTTCCCCAGATACACCCAGAGAGTCACTCACTCATCATCAGGTCTTCACGTCAGCTTCTCAGGGAGGCCTTCTCTGATCACTCTGTTTGAAATACAACACCCATCCCCCCCCCCCAACTCCACCCCCGCGCTATCTCCCTCCCCTGTTTCCAAAACTTTTACCACTCTTACTTGTCTTTGTTTATCTTTCTATGAAGACAGTGATTTTTATCTTTTTGTTCACTGCTAAATCCTTGCTCCTAGAGCAATCCTGGGCATAGAGTGAGCATTAAATATTCGTTGAATGAGCAATTGAGTCGTATAGAGAAGGTGTATAGGATGAGGGATTAAAACACTTAATGGTGGAGTTAGTGAAAAGCTTCTGAGGTGTAGTGGGAACACAGTCATACTACAGTGGTCTGGGGAGAGGATGAGAGTCAGGAATGAAAAGAAGAATGAAGGTGGTAGCTTGTAGGGAGACAGAATACAGAGGGAAGGATGATGAGAGGCAGCCAGTGAAGAGAAGGAAATTGAAATATGTAGGTAATAATTGAAGGCCGATGTCCTAGAGGAGTCAAAGAAGACGAGATCAGGGACTTATGTGAAGAGGTTGCCCTGAGACAGAAGGGAACGAGATAAGGATGGATACCCTACTTTTATGAAAGGAAGGAAATTAAGTGAATTCATGCCTGATGGCCACTATATTCTCTGTAAAGTAGGAAGCTGATTTTCGGCTGAGAGTAAGAGAGATGGGGTAGAGGATGGAGAGCCATTTGCTATGATTTTAAAATTATTATTATGTGAATAAGAAGAATTGACCAACTAGGGACTAGAATAAGAAGCGCCAAGTAGTATTAACACTCCCTAGACTAGAAAAGGATGTGTTTTAGTGTAGAAGTCACTTGACAGCTGTCATGAGTACATCCTTATCTAAAACTCACTATTAAAAATACTCTATTCCAGAGACTAAATTATCAGGAGAACATTGTTCTAAAACTGGACAAATGCCAGAGTGAAAGTGAAACATTTATTTTCAGTAGGATAGCTGTCAACTGACACCCTCATTTGTACTATAACAAGTAACTAATATAGATGTCATCAATCTGCTTGATGCACTTCTGGTGCAGCTGAGCAACAGTTGTTTAGTGTATCATCAATATATGGTTTTATTGTGATTGATTTGAAGAACATATGTAGGTCAATTTAAGCCTGGAAGAAGGCCAAGGCACTCATCAAGTTTTGTCTTTCTCTTTGCAAATGTTTTCTTAGACGAGTTGTTTTGCCATTTAAAAACATCAAGTTCTGACCTGATTGAAAAATGAGTCTTTCAAATAACCTAACATTTGCTCTGCCTTTTGATAAGCTGTCACTTGCATCTGAGCACAGACTTTCATCTTTTATGAGTAAAGGGATTCTTTTAATTCATCAATTTTATGTATTATAGACAAGTATATGGAATGATTATCTAAAATATATCCATAAATTACTTCACAGGAATTTAGAGAAAGGATATTGGAATAAAAAAGAACCAAATACTTAATTCTTCCTACTTCCAACACAAAATAAAAGAGGCGTGAAGTCCTGTTAAGGTTAAATTAGTCTCAGTTACTTAAGGTAAATCTGTTCAGGCAGCAAGTAGTAACGCAGTCTGCTTTAATACTGCTTATTCCACTCAGCTCCCCTACATGGAGGTGAAAACCTATTCACTTTGGGCTCAGTCTCAGGAGTTTGGGTTTATTTCAAAGTAAATCAGAGTGAGTGTTAGGCAGGACCCAGCTTTCCCCATGTCTTGCCTGAGAGGACGCACATTCCTTAATTAGTGACATCCAAACTTTTAAAAATAGTAGAAGGCTTTTTCCTAAAGAAATTGTTTATTGAATTCAGAGCAGAGTCCATTCCTAACACTATGTCTGTTGATTTAGTGGAGGGGCAGGGCTGGATTTTGGCGGGGTCTGGTGGTTGGCTGAAAACAGATAAAAATATTATCACTTTTCAGTTATTCTTTTTATGTGTCTTTCAGCCTTGCTTTCGCACTACTTCCTCTAATATCTTGTCACCATTTTCTTCATAAATTTATTTATTTTATTTATTTATTTTTGGCTACGTTGGGTCTTCGTTGCTGTGCGCGGGCTTTCTCTAGTTGCAGCGAGCGGGCGCTACTCTTTGTTGCAGTGTGCGGGCTTCTCACTGCGGTGGTTTCTCTTGCTGTGGAGCACGGGCTCTAGGCGCACGGACTTCAGTAGTTGTGGCGTGCAAGCTCAGTAGTTGTGGCTCGCAGGCTCTAGAGCACAGGCTTGGTAGTTGTGGCACACGGGCTTAGTTGCTCCGCGGTATGTGGGATCTTCCTGGACCAGGGTTTGAACCCGTGTCCCCTGTATTGGCAGGCGGATTCTTAACCACTGTGCCACCAGGGAAGCCCTCGTCATTTTCTTACCACCAAGTCTTCATATTATTTTAAGAGTTGTGAAGGAGCCCCTTTTGCAGAGTATGCTCTGGGAAAGCAGATGCTCCCCTATCTTTCTCCATAGGTAGGCTCCTAATGGAAACGTCAGTATAAAAGCAGTGAAGAGTTGACCCATTTGAAACATGGCCTACTGTTTCAAAAACGGAGCCCAGTTCATTCTCCCCCTTGTTCGGAGGAGAGCAGTCCATCTTCACTCGCTCCTACCTCCTCGAAGCTGAGGCACCGGAGCAGAATCCCAAGGCTCCATGGGACAGTTTAGATGTGCCTTTTATAAATAGCTACAACCAGATTTTGGTCTTTGCTATCACAATGAGAGTCTTTGCTTTTTATTGTGATAATTGTTCTATTAGGTCTTATTCTTAACGCTATTTCATTTTGAGGGGAGCATTATCTCTTCTTAACTTTTCTTTCCTGCCCTCTTTTTTCTCAAATGTTTTGGAAGTCATGCGTTCTGTTTTTGTTTACTCTTAGTTACTCTGCATTAAACAAAAATGTCTTATACTATATATGCATGTTTCTTCTTTTCTTCTACTGCAGCTTGAAATAGATTGGGAAAAAATCAAAGCCAAAATTGAGATGGAAATTACTAAAGAACGAGAGCGATCCTCAAGCAGCCAGCCCAGCAAGAATATTGGTCTTATGCACTAAATGCCATGCTTACCTTTAAGAAGTTTTACCTTTTGAAACTGATTCTGATGAACCAAGGATAAGCTTGTTCTCCTTGCTTAAAAAAAGGCAGAATCTCTAAGTATAAGCACTCGCTGTGTATTTAATACCAAAAGAATATTCAGAAAGACTAAGCACAAAATAATTGATGTAATTTCATCTTTTATATTTTTAGTCCAATAATTAGCAAAACATCCTATATATTTATGATGCATCTATGTAGTATTGCTTACATTCCAGTTTTCTGTCCATTATTTTATCCCTGAATCTTCAGTATGAACAATATTAATGCTGATAATAAAACATTGGACTCTTTCAAATGTATGTCATCATTAATTTCTATTTGATCTCAATTGTAAAGTGCTCCAAAAGTTTATTTATACAACAACAAAAAATGAAGCTTGACTTATGAAAGTATAAAATAATACATATACTTGTATACCAATGTTCATAGCAGCAGTATTCACAATAGCAAAATGGTGGGCAAAAAAAGACGGCCATCAACAGATGAATGGATAAACAATATGTGGTATTTACACACAGTGGAATATTATCCAGCCTTTAAAGAGAATGAAATTCTGATACGTGCTACAACATGGATGAACCTTGAAAATACTATGCTAAGTGAAATAAGCCAGACACAAAAGGTCACACATTGTATGATCCCACTGACATGAGATACCAAAAATAGGCGAGTTCACTGAGTCAGAAAGGTGAATGAATAGTGGTTGCTAGGGACTGTGGGAGGGAAAATTGGGGAGCTATTGTTTAATAAGTTCAGAATTCCTGTCTGGCATGAATGAGTTGTGGAAATGGATAGTGGTGATGGTTGCCCAACATTGGAAATGTACTTAATGCCACTGAATTGTACACTTCAAAATGGTTAAAATGGTAAATTTTGTTACATATGTTTACCATAATTTTAGAAATATATCTAGAATGGGCAAGAAATATTTTCCTCATTCCTTTTCTGACTCGAGAATGTTTAGGCACTAGGCCCTAGAGTCTGAATTTGTGAAAATTTCCTTAAATTATCAATCTGTTTGACTAGCCTTAATTCAGTATGTCCCCAAACTATTATTACCACAAAGCTTTTTAACATTGACACAAATAATCCTTAGAAATTCTTCCATGAAGCCATTTTTGGAAATGGTGTATTATAGAGTGGGCATAGGCATATGCATGGGAAAGTGATTACCTCTCTCACCCCCATTTTAATTAATATATCTAGTTTTTTTTTTAATGAAAATGTTCCTATCTTTTCAACATATTCCTTTTTCTTACTGGAATGTTGGAATGTTCGGTTCTTCATCCAGATGCCGGGTACAAAGTTGTGTCAGTTTGTGAAATATGATTGAGGGGTTTACTTATAAGTTGTACTTATACGTTTATATATGTTTTCTATATTATGTTATATGACAATAGAAAGTTTAAAAAAAGATGGTCAAAAGAGTAAACTTTATATTATGTTTATTTTACTACAATTTAAAAAGAAAAAATGTAATGAAATGTGTCTGCATTCTACCAATTCTCTGATAACCAGCTAGGTGCCCTACCATTCAATTCAATTCTGACACTACCCAGAGTTAGTGTAGGTCGCACAAGTTAAAGGGAAAAATCCTCAGCTAGACTGCCCTTATTTCAGTTGCCAGTCGCCAGTGGGGACCCCAGGATACCCACATCTCTCCGACTTGGCTCCAAATGTGTGGGTTCTTACCACCTCCCTTTAGGTTTGATAATTCACTAGAATGATTCACCAAGCTCACTGAAACATTTTCTATTACAATTTTATTGTAAAAGATACAACTTAGGAACAGCCAAATGGAAGAGATGCATAGAGCAGGGTCTAGGAGGAAGGAGAGATCTGGGGGGAAGTGGGAGACACAGAGCTTCCATGCCGTCTCCTCCTCGTGGAACCCCGGCACGTCATCCTCCCAGCACATCAATATGTTCACCAACTAGGAGGCTCCCCCAGGACTTGGCTGTCCTGAATTTTGTATCAAGAGTTTTATTATGTAGGCACAGTTGATTAAATCATGGGCTATGAGATTGAACTCAATGGCCAGCTCCCTTCCTCTCCCTGGAGGTCAGGTGGCTGAAAGTTTTAGCCCTCTAATCACGTGGTGACCAGCCCTCATCCTGAAGTTCTCTAGCCACCCCCACTCATTAGCATAACAAAGATACTCCTGTCTCTCTGGAAATTCCAAGGGTTTAGGAAGCTCTTTACCAGCCCCCCTCCCCAAGACCAGATACATCCTTTATATATCATAGGCTACTCCCTGGTCTTTGATCATGGGATCTTTTATAGCAAAAGGAACATACCTGACTGAGCATAACAGATACAGCAACACTTGGAGGAGTCAATGTGGAGTAAGGATAGGAACCTATTAAACTCAATTTCCCAATACATTTTTTTTTTTTGTGTGTGTGTGTGTTACGCGGGCCTCTCGCTGCTGTGGCCTCTCCCGTTGCGGAGCACAGGCTCCTGACGCAGACGCGCAGGCTCAGCGGCCACGGCTCACAGGCCCAGCCGCTTCACAGCATGTGGGATCCTCCTGGACCAGGGCACGAACCCGTGTCCCCTGCATCGGCAGGTGGACTCTCAACCACTGCACCACCAGGGAAGCCCCCCTAATACATCTGATGATCAATATTGGCATTATCTTTTCAATAATGCCAGTGTTTTAACACATCACATTATGGTAGATGTAATCTGAAAAATAAGAATCAAAGATACTGACACATTTCCTGGAGTCTCATCCAGTCTCAGATAATCAGCCCAATCCATCGTCATGTCATATGATGGGATATCTCAGGGTTTCCACTCCATCTTGTCAGATTCAAAAGCAGGAGTGGTCTCAGCAATATATGACTTCACACTGTCAGGCATTTGGTATAATTAGACTTAAGAGACAATATCATTTCTTGCTCTGAGCTTCCTTCCAAGCATTACCATTGGAATTCTCTCATTGTATAACTCAGTCATTGTTCATTTACCCTTGGCTACTTACTATTTCTTCTGTTTGTACCCAAACCTTTTCACCTTGGAAGGAACATTAGGTTCAGCCACTGTGCTGGTCTAGATCACAGGCAGCAGTAAGAGTCTAGCCAAGTGCCTCCCGCTCTGTCCACTCCCATCCACGTAAGATAGGGTTACACAGGTACAGGGTTAGTGGGCTGTTTCTTCCAATAGGCACTTGGATAACTGTATTCACTGTTAGCCCCAGTATTGCCCGATGGAATGAAAGTGCAACCCATCCCGTCAGGCCCTTAGGAAAAAAAGGATCTCGTTGCTTAGGAATCATCCCTGCTTCCAGCAATATAGTTGCATCCTTGGTCCAGGGACCACTGCCTCAAGTAGGCAGAAGAAAGGTAAGGTGATACGGGAAAGAGAGAAAACAGTAGAGTTGTCACACCAGCACCCTCACCCACCCCCTCATCCCCACATTCAGAAAAGCAGAGGAATTTGTCCAGTGAGAACAGTCCCTCAGCCCCGCTCACGTTGACTGTGAGCACAGATTCGTGAGGACACGTAAACCAGCCTTTCATGCCTCTCTCTCCTCCCATTTTTTTTTTTTATAAATGTCTGGGTTTTTTTTGCTGTTTCTTTGTTTTTTTTTTCTTTATTGGCTGCACTGCTCATCTTGTGGGATCTTAGTTCCCCGACTAGGGATCGAACCCGGGCCCCTGGCAGTGAAAGCGCCAAGTCTCAACCACTGGACCGCCAGGGAATTCCCTATCTCCCGCCTTTTAGACAATCAGTGTTTTGATTGCTCATTCTAATTCTTTACCAAACTGTTACTCCGAGGAAGATATCTCTCTGCCTGTTGTTGGACACAATGGTCTGTAAATAGCGTTCCTTGGTCTGAAGAAATGTGACGCAGTGGTCCAAATCAGTGCCATATCTTCTGTTCCAGTTCTCTTGCAGTACTCCGATCATTTGCATCTACCCCTGGGTAAGCAAAGCCCAGTCCAGAGTCAGAGCTATTCTTGTCAGGATCCACTTGCCGTCCCCCAGGGCTACCGGCATCAGCCTGACTTGCCAGCTCTGGGCAAGGACTCCCCCTCGGGAATCTGCCCCAGAGCCAGCTGTAGTCTCTGTGTCTCTTGTTGGCAGACAGGACAGTTCTTGTTGGCATTTTGTGACTCAGAGGATACCAGAGGAATACGTCTAGATTGAGCCCATCTCTGCATTGCTGCAGCCCACCCCCCATCCCCAGTGTCCACCCGTTTCACAGACCCAGGTGGCTACATCAAGTGAGCACACTAGGGTATCTGCTTGTCGATTCTAATCGCCTTCTGATGGCGTTGACGTGGCCTACGTTAATGCACCCCTCAAATTCCTATAATGATTTCCATAGAGCCATGCCCTGTTTCCATTGGCCTCCCAATAGGCCAATCTTCCATTGTCCTGCCTGACCACATGGCCAGGTCATTGGCCACTGCCCATGAGTTGGTGAAGACCCAAACATAAGGGTAAACAGCATGCAGTGCAGTTCACCAAGCTGATTTGTTTTTATCTTTTTCCATCAGAGTGATGGCCTTCCAAACAGAATGTTGTCTGTTCATGTTGAAACTGCCATCCATAAACCAAGCAGCTCTTTGTTGGTCAGTTGAGAGCTGTTTATAGGGCACTGTCCAAGTGACCATAGAATCTGGCAGCTCCTCACATGGTTCCAAAGTCAGTCCTGGGGAAGAGAGTCTACCCACTCGTGGATACACTTCATTCCCCCGTAGCATGTTCCTGTACAAACCGTGTCTATTTTATTATAGAACTCTTCTGAGCACTGCCTTCTTCATTAGAGCATTTCTCTGACATCACCAGACATCATGGGTATTTCAGGTTGCAAGATTATTTTATGCCTTTCAGTCACATGGGCATTTCCAGTTAATGTCTGGTGGCAAGCTACTAATTGCCCCTCAGATGGAAATTTTCTAGTCCACAATTCCAGTAGTCATTGCTGGGAGGTGCGTACAGGCTTTTGCCATAAACCACAGTTACACTCCATACACAGCTATTGTACAGAGGATTTGTCCAGACAAGCAATCCGGCTTCTATGAAGTGTGGGCTCGGGCAATCTTATTCATTCCCATTTAGCACGTGACTTGAAGGAAGGGTTTACATGTCTTCTGTATTACAATACTACGTAGGGGAAATATTCCCCAGTCAGATGCAATATCCATCCCCATAATACATTCAGGTAAAAAAGTCATAACCACTTCGTCTAAACTCGTTCACCTGATGGGATTAAAGTACTGCATTTCAGTATCCTCTCAATATACTTTGCCTCCCATTAGAACTTTACCAACAGATT